AATGCACTTGACCATGATAACGATATGAACAGAACAGGGATGACCATTAAATAAGCACGACTGACAGAAACAAAGAAAGAGAAACAGTAGACGTCCTTTTTCATGCGTCATCTCTCATACTAGTCAACTGCCCTCGACCATAACACCAGAACAAAGAAAATGATTTTGAATAGCCGAATAAAACTGAAAAAAACGAATCGATTCGATTCGACCTCTTTTCTAGAAGTATCATTCGATTCGATTCGGCTTTTTTTCAATTATTTTTTTATTCATTCGATTCGATTCGGCTTTTTTTCAATTTTTTTTATTCATTCGATTCGATTCGGTAGTTTTGAAGTTCCATTCGGAATCGATTCGATTCGTCTGGGGCGAATCGAATCGAATCGAATCGAATTATTCGGCAATTCGATTCGATTTCGGTCTCTGGTAGACACTATCAGAACGATATTGAACTGTTTCATATATTCAGAAAAATATCATCACAAACAATGAAATATTTGTTTTTTTATGTATTTAATTCTTTATTGGATATTATTTATCATATGATTGATAGATAATATTATTCTCTTAGATCGTAACAGGAGAAAATCATGTTCGGCGACCCAGGAGAATCGTTCCGACAGAAGGATTCTATCGGATTCCGACAAGGGTCAGGCAATGAATATACCGAATAGCATATGTGTTTCAATAAAACCGGCGAAATCTTATGTGATTCCTGGGCACGGGCCTACAGTCGGATCCGATGTTGGATTTTAACGGAATCCAATTCTAACGAATCACCCTTGCGCTCTGATGACTCAAAGTGCTTATTTGATCGTGACTAAGAAAATTAATTTTTTCATCGAAACCGACAATAGTTTCGTGTCTAATAATCCTATCGGATTCTGTTGGGGAGTCGGATCTCATCGGATTCGATAAGATCCATTGTCAGATTTATTCACCTTGGATACGCAAAAATTGGGAAGAGGATATGAAGGCGCATCGAACTGTAGATCACTGATTTCTCTAATAGAATTTTTTAAGTGTTTTTATTCAATTTTTTAACCTTCAGAAAAATGCTCTTTTTATGAAAAAAAGCGAAAACAAAAGATTGATAGAAAATCGTAGTAGAGGTTCGCCTAGAATACGTATTATCCTCAAATAATTAAATTTAACACCTGAATCTTTCGCAGTTTGTAGACCTTCGATTAGTGGTTTGAATGTGAATCTGATTATTGGAAATTCACTGTAAACAACTCACGAGATAGGTCTGTTCTTTAAAAGGCCAACTAAAAACCTTACAAAAAAAAACAGATTAAAAAAATCAGCAATATATGATGCGATGCGTCTTCATCTTCTCTTTCCAATGGTGAAAACCGTAATTCTGTAACTTGTTGCTATTAAGCGCTATTCAAAAAATACTCACGAGCATTCATATGCATGCTACCAGCCCAGATCGAGCATTACAACTACTAGACACGGTCGTATACGGCCAATAACGACCGTAATACGGTCGAAAAATTGAGTAATCGACTGGTTACGGTTGTTTACGACACGTTGAAAAACAGTCGTAAATTATGGTGAAATGACCGTTTACGACCGTGTGGCTTTCACCTGGGAGTACATATGCGAAAGAAACAGATCTTATCGAAATTCTACTATTATGATATTTGTTGATATAGTGATCAAATAGCATAGAAAAATAGAGCGTGTTTCGCTCTATCTATTGGTAAAAAAGAAACTTTTTTCGATCTCTGCTTGAGGAAACAAGGTACCTCTGTCACTACTGTTGGATTGCCCTAATTATATTTATCTCAAACTGGTGTAGTTGGTAAACGACAAGATACTACAATGATCACCTAACGAAAATGCAAGCATTTCTTCATTTTGAAGATTGTATTCAGATAAAAAAAATTAAGCAATGTATCAGTTTTCTGCGTCATTGTTTGAACTTTATTACGTCTGTTTTGAAAATCGTCATGTTTTAGTTACAAAAATTGTTTGTCCAGTAGTGCTTAAACAAAAATAATTTGAAAAGGAGCGAAGTTAACTGTTGCTCTCTAAATTTACTAATCTTGACTATGACAAAAATAATCTATTGATTTTTGTTTTCAATGTATGACTCTCTTTAAGTTTCATGCAACGAATTTTGACGTTGTTTTTTTCGATGGATGTTTTAATTTGTTTCTCATGCCCATCATTTTGTTTTTAGGTATCTGAATGTAGTTCTCTTTTTTCTCTCTATAGAAAGGCTTACTTTCATAAGATGATCCTTTTATTCTTTACCATTTTGATTTTTGTATTTAAAAATGGTGCACCATTTCCCAGATCCAGTGACACCACTAATTTTTTATTTAAGCAACAATTAAATAAATATAGCTACTAACATTAATAATTTATTGAAAACAACAAATATTTTATTAAGTTAAATTTCGATGAGCTACAATGAGTGTGATACGTTTATGATCTTGACAGATCCGTTGAATCAATTTAACACCCATCGCATGTGTTACCCATTGCAAATTAGCACTAGTATAATTTGTTTTGATCTCTAAAAGACGATCACCGACACGAAGTTGATTCCTTTTAATAGTTGATCCTAATAGACCATTTGGATCGATATAAGTTAAAAATAAACCAGAATCTTCATCATTTTCATCTAATCCACCAATAATATTGATGCCAAGCGATTGATTCAATACGTCAGTCGGCAAGACTACATCAATATATTCGATATGTACAGGATTTAAACGTCGAATATGAAGTGAAAGAGGTTTTCCATGAGCTGAAGAGAATGCTTGAACAGCTTTGTCATGAGTTGCATAAGTTAAATTGATGTTATTTATCGAAAGTATACGATCAAAAAAGCGAAGCTTAGTTCGACCATTATCCAACGATGATTTTGAACAATGATCAATTTGTGTAATTACAATTGCTCGACCATATTCACTATCAATACCGCCGCTGATGGTGAAACCATATCTATTCAAATTATCTTGCATTGGTTTAATTTCAATAATTTCATCCTTCCAATCATTATCAATAGATTGATGATGATGTTCTTGTTGTTCTCCGTCAATCAATGAATAAGGTGGCGGTAATTCCGTCACATGTAATACTTGTGTACCGTCTGAAAGCTGATTACGATTTATTACATGAAGGTAAGCACCAATATGTTGTTCCATACCGTTATGTAGGTTTATATTGTAATTAAAGAAAAAGAAAATGAATCAGAACGAAAAATAAGACAAATTTTATGCTGGCAAATATTTGTTGAAGCTTAACGAATTAGCCCACATGAGAGTGAATCATTGAATGACGCATTTACTAGATAGAAATTACATTTCGACAGCAAGTGATCCATGGACGTTTGTTTTTCGTTCTTTTTCTTTTATTTTGTTGACATCTTATTTTATTTTAACATTCACTTTGATCAATGTGAAATTCATCCCACAAGAATTCAAAAACATAAGATGTGCTTAATCATATTGAGCTAATGTGCAAGATCTCATGACATCAAAATCTCCCATGAACATTCTAGTATTGAATATAGATCTTAGATCGTGTATTATTGTTGATTTTCTTTTCATTTTAGCTGTTTACTAATATACTTTATTACATAAAAAATTGAGATGAACCGAATTTTAATTCAATTTTATGGCTGATGAGCAATCATCAATGTTGATTATTATTATTCTCATAATAATAATGTAATTTAGTATTAAATAAATTTTAAAGTAAAAGTATCTTATCTACATTTTTCCTGTAAAATAATCTTCTATTCGTCGACATCTATTATTTACTATTGAAAGTTTTGTTTCATTATCAATTTTGTTATTCTCTCATAATAAGGGGCAGCAAGCTTTGTGAAGCCATATTTCCATAAATTAGATTCCACTATTTCAAGAACTTATGTAAACCAATAACACTAAATGGATGAAATTGCTCATAGTTTCCTAGAATATTTTTAATGGAATTATTTCCTTCATTTTGATTTTCACCTATCAATTTCAAAATCTAATCAAAAACTTATCATCAGTAGTATGTCACGTGGAGTTTTCAGTTTGTTTTTGAAAATGATACTAATGCAATACAATAACTTATATTTCCATGAATGGTTGACAAAATAGATGCAAGAAAAATAGCTGTTTCTTTCAATACCAAATTCATTTTCTAATGTTTTCCGTTGCTAAATATATATTATAACTTAGTTTTTCATATATGTCTTTTAAGCACGCATATTATTCATCTTGTAAGTGTAGTTAGTATTGATATTAAAATCATATTTCAATGATTTCCTATCTTTTATTTCCAATTTAATCTTCATCACCACGAGCGCGTTTACGAACAAAAAAAGAAAAACGAATCCTCTCTCTCTCTCTCACTCTCATCTCATATCGGTAATTGATGATTTCTCTTCGAATCTTTTATATATAAACATCAACATATCACTAGTAAACGTTAACTAGAAAATAATAATAAAGTAATAAAATGACAAGAAGAAAAACATAAGAACAAAGCATAAAACTTCTGTACATTATTCCCCTCATCTCTTTTAACATTTTCATATTTGTAATACACGCACACGCACACACACATGAAGATGTGTCTAATTCTAAGTTGAGATATATTAAAAAAAATAATAATGTATAACAAATGGTGAAGAAAAAAACGCTCAAAGTAAGATATGAGATAGATAGATAGAGAGATGTTTGCGCCATCTCTTGTGATGTTTACGTAGAGAAAAGTAAACAAAAGAAGAAGAAAAAAACGAGAGAATGACACTTCACAACAAGATGAATGCAAGTATATACTGTAATAAAAAGACAAAAGAAAGTAGTGACTAGAGATGAGGAAGAAAAACAAACGGAAGATCGAGCAATATTCACGGATACATAATATCTTCAATTTTCTTCAGTAATTCTTTTGTATAATCAATGGCTTGTTCCGCTTGAGCTTTAAAAAATGAATTAAATTTTAATTAATTGAAAAACGAAGAATAATGAAAACGAAATGAACTTACAAACAGTAAATACTTCGGCTGGAATTTTTGCGAATCGTGCTGCATTAGGATATTGCATACGATTTGGATCGCCAATCCATTTATATAGTTTGTAACCTATTTCTCGTACATCATTGTCGACACCAATTAATAAACCTGGAATATCAGCTGTCATATTTTTGCCCGTATCTTTGTAATAGTGATAAGCTTTTAGGGCTTTTTCAGCTGCCTAAAATTTAACATATTCATAAAAAAAATTTTGCATTCACATAATAATAAAAAAAAATCGTTTTTCAATGATTAGAATGAAAAAATTTTCAAACGCAAAATTGATATGTGATACATAACTAATGAAAGGTTGTCCTCAGCTGTCAAATATTTGTGAAAATCAGTAGATGTACTTCAACTGTAGACATCAACATGTAGATCTTCTAACGTAAGCAATGATATTTACTCTGGTAACGATTATTTACTTTATTGTACTAATATCTTGACTAAACATATTTTAATCAGAATTGAATTTATATTTTAAGTGAAATATTTCGACTTGATTATTATTCAAAATTTTTGAATGTATATTTGATTAAAAAGTGGTTGAACTGTTGAGAATTTTTTCTCATAATATCAGAAAAAGTCAAATGTTTCAATAAGATACTAACGAAAAATATCATTTTCACAAGCTATGTATACAAATAAGTAATTTCTTGAAAACTTACTCGATAACATTTATAACAAACCCAATCATATGCAACCTGACCAGTCGACGAGTGCATATCACTGTATGAACTTTCTAAATCATGTTGAGCCTGTTTGAGCCATCGATCAGCTTCAGATTGTTGATAATTACGTTTGCGACGTGAATTCGGACTTTCTTCTGTTGAAAAGAAAGAAACAAAAAAAAATGGTTAACATGCGTATTAATACTAATAAGTTTTATTAATAGTAATAATTAGATAAGAAGCATTCTACAATCAATATTCCCACGTTTACCCAAAGCAAAGAACACTCACCAAAAATAGGATCCGAGACTATTATGAAAACAAAAAAAAATAAAAATAAAAAAAGAGTAAAAACAGCTGTTCTGTGCGTGTGTAGACTACATGCAAATTTGCTACATAGATACTGATATAAACGAATAACTTACTTCCACCAGTTGTTGATGATGTTTGTGAATGACTTGCATTATTTGTGGTATTTGTACTATTCGTTGTATTTTCTTCAGTTGGACTAAAAAATCCATGACGTCTTGGAAATCCATGTTGACGACGATATTGCCATTCTTCACGTGCTGTACGAAATGAAGACGAACGATGTGGACTGAAACGACTTTTATTTGCGTTTGCATCATTAGGATCGGCATTATCTTTTGGTATATCTTGATAGCTACGTTTTGCATCATCAGTTGAATCTTTATTTAAATTATCAAAACTACCAAAACGATCATCACCTGTTGCCGATGATGTACTATGATGGTGCTGATCTGTTTTAGTCGCATTTGAAGTTTTATTCCAACTGAATCTTGGATCAGATGTAGAAAACGGTGAATGATGAAAATTATTAAATGTATTAAAAAACGATGTTAATGGATCATTTTCGAAATGATCTATTTGTTTACGTAAATGTTTAAAAACTTCAGCAGCATAACGTTCACGACCGGGATTTTTATCTGGATGCCATTTTAATAATAATTTTTTAACAGTTTTTTTACGTTCTTGTCCAGTTAATTGGTATGCTTGACGAACAGCATTATAGATTTCTGTTTTAGTTAATTCAAGTTCGGCTTTATCAATTTTATCTTGTTCATTTGCTTGTGTTGATTCAGATTCTGATTGCGATTCAGATGCCGTATTACTTGATGAATCACTATCAGCAGATGTTTGGCCGTAGGTTTTAAAATTATTAAAACCATTGGTCGAATTCGAATCATTAGTAAAATCTTCACCATTGGCGGATTTTTCTGAACGTTTGGAAGAGGAATAAGATTTTTCATCATTGAATTTATCTTTATCACCATTTTTGCCTATAGACGACACACGCACAGTGAAACAATATTTCAATTCTGTTTTTTTTAAAGGGAGGAGAGACCGAATGTTATTGTGCACGAGAAAATTTATCTTATCCAAGGGAATAGATAATATTTAATTTTTCAGTCACTCTAAATTCATTTTAGAGCTAAAAGTTTATACATCTGTTATTGACATCATGAATTCATGAAGCTATCAGATGCTGACATGCTTCGTACACCTCGATATTCTCTATTGTCTGATGAGTATAGTTCAAAACAGTGAGTAATTAATTATGTCTTAGATATTTTTCTAATCCATTTCAAATTATGCGCAACTCTAAGATTTGTATGTATTTGACAAATGTAAGCCATTGCCGTGAAACTCACATGAATGACTTTGAAAAAAAAACTTATCATGAGTGTAAGTTTCAGACCGCGATATCGCAGGTTCACCTTCATTATATTCGAGAAAAGGCCAATAGCCATTGTATATGTTTCCATAACAACCGAAGATAAAAGGCGCCAGGCTCCCTTCTCAAAATTTCTTAGTAACAGCAAAAATGTTGAACAAGATCAACAAAAAAGCTAAGATCTGTTGTAGTATATTCCAAAATTTCCTTTGAAGTTGAAATAACTGGAATCTGTGGTTAGTCTTTGAATGTTCTGAGTAAGACAGCTTCAAATTTTTGCGTAGATTAACGATTATGTCAGAGATATCAAGAATAATCACTAGTGATATACATTTTTTCGCCATATAATCAACATAAAATATTTGAGTTGATCAAGTTATAACTTTTGACTGTAGTCAATATGCATATTTTCTGAACTGATCGAAACATACGTTAGTGTATTGAGACTTGTCGTAGATAGACTTCATACGTACAATAGTAGTTCAATCGATAGTTCGAATATGTCACAATGTTAAATTAAGAAAAACTGGAGTACGAAAAAAGGCGAACGCAGGGGAATTAATTAGAACGAAAATTAGAACGTCACTCGAAAAAATAGGAATAAACGAGAGAGACTGATAACTCAGAGGATATATCTGTAGTTTTTCACAGATTTTTTCACTACGCTTCTTTGGTATTAACATGAGGATGATCCAAACATGTGAGTTCCACGTTTAAGCTCCAAAGTAGCTGTGCTGATCAACTTTGTTTTTAATCTCAGAAGATAGAAATAGAAATAGAAATAGAAATAGAAATAGATTTTAATTCATTGATAAAATGAATGAATATTTTCTTCTGTAGGGGTTAATATCAATCAGTTAATCGACTAGAGATATTTCGATATTGTCACGGGTTACTAACAAAATATATGATATCGACCGAATAACAGTAATTTTTTGTCGATAGCACATTTAAGAATAAGCAGAGGATAAGCAGAGGACAAATCAAGATGTTAAAGCAGCGCACATTAATGCCATTCGGTCTCTTGGATCTATGTTTTTTATGTATGTTATTATTCTTACCCTGTGCAGTCGCTGATGCTTTAAATCCAGCACTTTCATCAACTGGATTCGTATGTACAGCGTCGAATATTCTTGACCAATGTTCAAGTACATAAAAATTTGATGCTTCTATTTTTTGTGTTTCATTAGCATCATTTATTTTACACAGAAATACATGTGATACTGATGAATCGGAATTCTTCGATGCATATTGATCTTTAATATCATTTTGTTCATTGGAATTTTCTTTAATTATTTTTTCAACTTCACAATAGATATATAAATCATTCATACGAAAAACACATAAATCTCCTGGTAAAACTTGATGTACATCTACATTAAATTGTTGTAATTGTTCAACATCATCACCATACACATTGCCCGGCGATGGTATATATTGTAATTTAAGTATGGATAAAATATTTTCTTCAGTTGCAACATTAACTAAATTCAGAAGTTTTGACATTTGTCCGATTGTCGTTGCTAATAGTGCAGCCATAACAGAATTATCTAATTGTAATTCAGATAAGCCTAAACATGGACTTAAGGCGCGTGCTAAACATAATGTAAAATAAGGTTGTTCAGTATGTTTCATACTAATATATAAAACAATATTTTCTTCGCCTTCAGCAACTAAATAGACAGCTTTTTCATCGACGGATTGATCAACTTTTTGTTGAGTCTTTTTATAAATTAAATTTGTTTCAAGATATTCAACGCATGTTACTTTAACAAATGTTAATCGCTGACGAATTAAATTTTCAACATCATCAATGGATATGATTTTTGGATTTTGTTGTCGTGCAACATGATTAGCAATAACACGTGCCATACAACGATGCAAGTGACGTGATAATAATAATTGATTATATTTTCTTTCAAGATTAAATAGAAAACGTTGTCGATGAGATTCTTCATCTTCTGGAATTGTTATCGAAAATGATTCTTCATATTTTTGACTGAATAATATTGGACGTTGACTAACAAATATTCTATCAATTATATCTTTTACATTTGTTGGTGTTGCTTTTTCTTTTGAATTCGATGAAGGTGTTGGATCTAATTTAAGTACACACTCATTTGGATTAAACATAAATTTATCATGAACTAATTTTGTCATATAGTCAAGTTTTGTTTTATCATCCATAATTACGATGTCATTCGATTTAGCTAATTTAAAATCATTCGATACAAGATAAAGACCTAGAAATAATCAAATTAAGTTTAGTATATAATAGATAAACCAATCTCATCTAGTTTGTGACTGTTCGTTTGAATAGAACTATTGAATTTTCATCAAAAATCACATCTATGTTAGCCTTGGTGACAGATTTTGCCTGTCATTGTCGAGAAAATGAATCATTGACTTAGAGTATTTTGTATGAGGCATTCAGATTTTTTCAAATAAACTACTTTAGATTAAGATCTATAATAGTAGAGTTCTGTGTGGTATCGCTACTATGTTGCAGAAAGTTTATATTCCTGATAGACCTTGATGGAGGTCATAGAACTGAATATCAAATTGATTTCTGAGCAGTCCCAACAAATGACTTGTTTCAGAAGTTGATCAATAATGAGTTTCAAACAAGAAATGTTAACACAAAGACAACTTTGATAGTAAAATTAAAGAACTGGTATAAGTAACTGTTCTATATTTCTGTTTAGTATATTGTTTTGGTATAGATCATTTCATTTCACGAAAAATTATTTTTTCTTCTTTATGAAATCTTTTACCAAGTGATATGTTCAATATGATGAACAGGCAAATTTTACTAAAAGTTCAAATACAGTGAAATGTTGACAGAATGCTTTTCAGCATATTTTTCGCTTAAAGATTGTTAAGTGGAACTCTTGAAGTTCTTTTGAAAAATCTATATATTTTTTTTAAGCAATATTGTTACTTTTCACATTGACACATTAAATCTCATCGGATAATGTAAGGCAAAGTAAATACTAACGAAAAACAAATTCGTACAAGGACAACTCTTTCAGGTGATTTTTACTAAAAGGCTTCTGCTTCTAAAATAATACTTTTATTTGTTTCTATACCATTCGACAAACATAGACGGTGGCTTGAAGCGTGGGGCGAAATTGAAATGAAAACTATGCTCAGAGTTCCCACACGTGAATGTCTTATTATTTTTTATCTTGATATAGGTATGAATTGAGTCGAGAATAGTTTCACCCTCCACTTCTAGAAACAGTTCAATTTCTTCGGAGCAAAATTGGAATATGTTTTCATTGATCTATGATTCCAACTTTCAATTAGTCTGCCTAGTGATAAACTTGCTTGAACTTAATTGTGATTGGTTCTCAGGGTGCATTTATTGATGTCTACCTATTGCCTGACGAAGATGTATTTTTAATTCTAACTTAGTTCTAAAAAAAAAGATAACAATCATTCTAGTTTCTTACCAGGTAATTTCGTTTGTGAATTAACTGCCGTACTTGTTGCCAAATATTTAAAGAAACATTCCATAGCTTTTAATGATTTACATAATTCATTTGAATTTAAATAATCTTGATCGCAAACTTTCGATAATTTTCGTAATATATCACCATACAGCATCGGATGGGGTTCAGATTTTGTACCGATCTGTAGAAACAAGTCTTTATATTCATAAAAATCATTATCTAATGAAAAAATAAATGGAGGAATTTCATCGGTGACAGATAAATTTAAACAAAAAAATTTCGCTTGTAAAAATTGACGACGTGTTCGAGAATATATAAATTCTCGGTCTTCTAATTCTTTATAAATTTCTGTACGACGTTCAACTTTAATTTCATGTAGAAAATAATTATAGATTGGTTTTAATACTGGCATTAAAATATCATCAATAATATGTTGAGATATTTGTTTTGGTGAAGTATTAGTATCACTGCAAAAGAACAACAACAAATAGAATAACAAAACAGCAAAATAGATGCTTTTCACTCACTTGAATTTTTCATTTTTTAATGAAAATAGTTTTGCTAAATTTGCAAGGTTCTTTTGTACTAATGCACACGATGGTTTTTTATTTAATTTAAAAAATTCTAATGCATTTTGATCAACAGATTCTTGTTGATCATTTGAATCATTAAAATAATCAAGACGAATAAATTCCGGTAATAAATACGATGATGTCCAACATAATTTTGCATATTTTAATAATTCACCATCACTTATTTTGATGCATGTAAAACGAAAAAAATCTTTTGGATCCGGTTCTGATGAATTTGTATATTGTTCATGTAATTGTAATAGCTCATCATTGTCTGAATGCATTTGATAGGGCTCAAGAAATTTATAATCTAATATTGAATTATCATAACGTGTCCAATTTGCTAACAAATGTTCATATAAATATTTCGAACGTTTGCGAAGTTCATTTGTCCAACCGTCTTGTTTAACGCTCACTTGAATGGATTCCATTATTTGTTTACATTTGTCAGTTGAAATATATGAACGGAGGCCACATTCTTTAAGAAATTTTAATAATGTTGGTGTATGAAATTGTTCGTCAGGAAAATGATGAACATCTAAGATTGAACGACTATTTTTCATATTTGGATCATACAATTCATAGATTGCACATATCTCAGGTGGATCACGCTAAAATGAAAAGAAAACACTTGAGAATGAGGGAAAATTCGAGTTTTTTTCTATTCATTCTTTTACCGATGTTTTAGGGATTCCTGTTGGTGGTTTTTGCACGTGCTCGTTGTTATTTGTTGATGTTTGTGTAAATATTTCTAAGTGATCATGCAGCTGTTTTCTACATTGTTCTTTTTCATGTGGGAATAATTTTTCATCGACATCTTCAATGAAATATTTCAATAGATTTGCTTGAGATTTAACATCTAATTTACGAAAATATGGTAAACATAATTGTAAAAATACTTCCAAATCCGATAGAATATTAAATCGTATATGTGAAAATATTTTACTTAATGGCTCAATTTTCTTTTGCATTAATAGAACAGTTTTTTTCTCGTGAAATTGTTCAGTAAAAAAATTTCTTTTAAATGATCGACGAATAATATTTGACCATTCTTCATTTAAAACATAAACATGTGCAAAATTTTCTAATGAACAGCATTGCTGAATTGGCATTTGCTGTTGTTGTTGTTGTTGTTGTTGTTTATCATCGGAAGATATTGTTCCCCAGAGTGGTTTATAAATTTTTAATTCACGAAGCTTTTGAAAATTACCTTGATAGCCATGTATTAAGAAATCATTAAAATATTTTAAAATAATAACAATATCATCATCCGATAAATTATTTGTTATTTGAGTATGTTTATTGAGTTCAAGTAAAAATTCCAAAACAATATTTGGATTTAATTCATCCATATTTTCAACTAATTGTGGATTTATATGTGGATCATCAAGGCGTGCTAAAATCGATTCTAATTTTTTATTACCAAAAATTTTTGGAAATACACGCGAAGGAGCATTTGCCGACAAACTGGTTGTCGCCGTTTGAGATTCAGTTGATGGAGTTGGTACTGGCATTGGTGTACTTGCTGTTGTTGTACTTGTCGGAGATTTTCGCACTTTTACACCTGCTTTCAAACACACACGTCGATCGATTGATGGATGCACATAATGTTCGTCTTGTGATGATGACGATGGATTTGACACTAAAATAGCAAAAAGAAAAATGTGCCAGTTACATCAACCGTATGAAATTTGATAGACACGTAAATATTTATAGGAAAAAAAATTATACACTCCAGATTTAATTTTTTCTTCCTTTACAATTGTTATTAGATGGAACTTTGAAGAAAATTGTGTAGTTGCTTCTTTGCGATGGCGCCGTTGACATTCTATCGTGTCGAAGTTAGCAATAATAATACTGTTGCTTTCTGTACATTCGTAAATGCTACCACAACAACCAATAATTTTATCGATAGTCGGGAAGCTTACGAAGAAGACTGACAGAATAGAGAAAAGAAATACACTCCTGCTTTGAAATGTAACAAGAAAAAATGAAGCTGATGATGCTGCCGTAGACAAGGTTATAGTAACAATAATGCAAATAAATGTTGCCTTTGTTTAGGTGTATTATTCATGCAGTCAAGTAGCTGTGAAATACGTTGTATGATTCATAAATAATGGATATTTTTCTATTTAATTGAATGGATTAATGCTCGTGAATCATTTTAACGAAACGGTGACAAATATCTCGCATTGTCAATAGTCTGATTCATTCATGGGACGAAAGATTTAGACGACAAACAACGCAGAAGAGAAATAATGGATTAAAGAAATCCAATATCAAATGACTGAAGGAAGCAAATATATAATGAAAAACTTACATATATGTTCTCGTTCGAATGGATAAAAGAATAATGTCGAACCAGGATGAAGAACACAATCCACATTTGGTAAATGTAAAATAATATTTGAATTGAAAACATTGGAATATTGTTCAATTATTAAAGCATAAATATTTTGTAGTAACGTTAAATCATCTTTATCAATAGGTTTTGTTCCATATTTCTTTTTGATTTGTTCAATTATATTTAAAAGATCTTTACCATCAATTTGTATTTTAATTTGCAATAAATCAAGAAAAAAATTCTTGTAATATTTATGCAATGCAATTGGTAGTGGATAAAAATAGGGTTTTAAACTGTTTGATAGGGATGTGCGACTTGGTGTATGCCATAGTAATTGTGATAGTGATAAAAATAAGTATGTATCTGCTGATGATGTGTCATTCATAAAAATCAGACGACGTTGAGAGAAAAAATCTCGTATATCACGTATGCTTTGTTCTAGGAGGTTGGTTTTAATTGCTGTTGATGCTGCTGTTCGTTGCTCAGGTGATTTTAAATGCGGAAAACAGTAAGATTGAATATAATCATAGATTGAATAACTCATGTCTAAAAAGAATTCGTATACATTTATACATGAAACAAATGAGTTTGTCGATCATATTCGAGGACAGATGGGAAAATATGCAAGGATATAGCGATAATCGATGACAGACAAATAAATATTCACATCTTGTTTTGATGTAGGAGGAATATTAAGCATGCATTATTGTGGCAAGGTTTTATAGAAATTGCTGAAACAAAATTGTAGAGGAAAAGATAGATATTGCAAACAAGACTAATTAGATCTAATAAATGTGGTTAGGCAATTTAGAATCTCTTTGAGAGTATAACAATAATTATTGTAAAAACAGTATGTGCAATTTTATTCACAGAAAGCTTGATATTGTTTAAGAATTTGCGAAAGATTTTCTCCTACCGACAAGCTTTAGAAATCTAAGTTCAAAAACGTACAATGCAATTCATTTCCAGTTGTAATATTATGTCGAATTTAGACTTAATACCATAGTTCAAGATGCTATTTAAAGTAATCCTGATTGGTTGTATTAGTACACAAAATCTTAACATACTTACTGTTGTATTCAGAGATAAAATTTACTTAGCTATTCAAAAATGTTAGAAATGTCTTTGAGTTGATAGACCTTGATATTTTCCTGGTATGTATATAGCTCTATAGGAAGGTTTAGAAGACATGGGCTATGCTTTTAAACAAATTTATACACTGTCTATAAAAAGAAAGATAACTGTGAAACGGTCGATTTTTATTATTTCTCTATGGTTACATACAGAAATCGATGTACTACTTTGTAACATTAGAAAAGATCTACGTTCTCGTTTTAATTAACATCGAAATTCATCAAAAATTGACACGAGGGAATTCTGCATTATTTAGTTATTGTATTTATGAATGCAATCCTATTTTCTCTAAATATCTTACCAAGTATATATTTCGATGTGACTTGATGATTATATGTGACTGAACTAGGTCCATTAATAACTGTTAATTTGGCAAGCTCATCAAGTTGTTTCAGTACATCCCGTAATTCAATTTTATTTATATCATCAAGACCAAGAAATTGCTCGACTTGTTTTGTTATTATTGGTTGTTCTTGAGCAGTTTTTGATTGTTGTGCTATTGGCCATGAACAAAAAACTAATTGTTCGTATTGTTGAGATAAAATATCTTTTGGTTTAAATAGTCGACCAATATATTTATCACCCATCCATGTTAAACTAATGCCATTTAATTCTATGGGTCGTTGTTTTATTGGTATAAATGGTAATTCACGCAATTGTACTGATGCGCGTGAACGCGCTTCTTTATCATGCAATGCTTCATGTATATGAACAGTTGATGGCTGTGAATTTGTTGTTTTTTCACGTGATCCCAATGCTGATTGACGAGCACGACGATCCGATGAATCATCATGTTCATCAAATGTTCGAGTTGTATTTGAATTTGACATCGTTAGCATATCATTCAAAATTTGAAGAAGTGCTAATGAACGTGTGTGTGCTAAATCATAATCGCGCATGCGTTGAATGGATTCACAACGTTCGACAAGTTCAGGCCATGTTACAAGATTATCATCACACTTCATACCTAGAAAGAAAAAAAAATCTCATTTCAGTATTTTATTTCTTAAAAACCAATAAATCAAAAAAAAATTTATACAAAATACGGACAACTATTTTCGCATTCATGAGATAATCAAAATACTCGTCTCATTATATTACTATTGATGAAAATTCTATTCGTTTTCATTTTACAACAATCAACTAGATCATCGTGATATATTTTAACTGTTGTGAAAATACGATAATCTTATAAAAATATGTTGTCTAACATGAACCAATGATGTATTTAAGAAGAATCACAACAGAAGTTTTCTATATTTTTTTTAATGTTCTATCTAGATGTTTATCGAGTAAGCTACATAAGAGTGCTTGTATTGATTTTGGTTCAATACTCTAATGTAATAGTGAAAAATATGATTCTATGAAGTAAACAAGTATTTTATTTGTCTTGAATATAGTATTTACACAAATAACCGATAATCATTTATACGATGATAGAATCTTTCGTTCATCTTAGAAATCTATGATTGACCAAAACATAAACGACAACAGGCATGGTTGACTAATTGAATTGTACTGTAGGTAGGTTTTCATAAACAATATCTAATGATTATTTATCTTGAGAAACATGATTGTTAACATGCAATGAATGAAGCTATGTTGAGTCATAGATTGCAGTCAGATGATTTGTTTTTTTTAACACAAATTATTTCATTCACAGAGTCAATTAAAATAGCACTCAAGAGAACAAACAAAACTATCTCATACTCGTAGCATTGAATAAACTAACTAGGAAAAATTTTCCAGCTGATAGAATTTACATGAATAAAATTCGACTTTAGGAATAGGAAAAGAAATCCGCCATGCTTCATTAGTACTAGACATTACAGCGATGAGACTGACCTATCTACACAATATCCCTTAATAACTAATTAGTCTACCATCTGTTCATTCCATCTATAAACATTATGCTATATATATATATATATTAGATCATATATCATATCTTACTAATAAAAACCTTCTTTTACTCATCGTATTCAATGTGAAAAGCAACACAAGACGACAGATTTTCTCTTACCAAGTAGTTTTAAAACGTTCAATCTATCTTCTCTGAGATAAGAGTCTTGTCCGCCATATGGAAACAATGAATCAATATCAGAATAAAGTGAGGCTAAACGACAATAGGGATGTATTAATTTTGATGGCTTATTTAAAATTCTTCCATTTGGTGTACATGGTATACAGCAATGTTGTTTTAAAATATTTAACATTAACGCATCAGCATGATCTAATGCAAATAATACTAAAATATCTTTGACATTTTTAGGTAAGACATTTAGATTAGGTAAGAGTAAATCATTGTATGCCCGATAATGATCAAATAGATTTTTTTGATATTCATTTCCAGACATTTTACGTATAAAATAATCTTCTTCTGTTAATAGTTGGCATTTTTTTTCTTTCGAAATTGTTGTTAATGCTTGAACAACGATTTCTTTCACATTATTTTGTTTATTAAATATATCTGTAAAAACAAAATTTAAATAATTTCTTCGAATCTCAAGTTTAGAAGAAAAAAAAATCTAATTTTACCTGGAAGATAAAGATAAATTTTATCATCGGATAAATCTAATGTACTTGAAAATGTTATTCGTGTTTGCTCATCCGGAATTGATTTTGTTGGAGTTGGTTTGATATTTTTCAATTCCAAATCAGTTATTACTTGTATTAAACGCCGATCGGCTGCATACATCTCTTTAATCCATTTAAATAGGTTTTCATCATATATTTGCTGATTACGTATTAAATCTTCTAATTTAGCTGATTCAGGTTGATATTTAACACCCATTGTTTCAAAAAATTTCCTATAATTATACAATTCATACGGAAGTATTTGGACATAGGATGCTAGAGGGTGTATTTTATCAATGAGATATAATTGATTTGATGACGAAAAGCCATTTGTACCATTCCATATCCATTCAACTAAATCACATATACGCATTTCTTTTAATATATCACTTGGATTATTAATATGTGATAAGGCATCATATAAACGTTTACATAAATTCAAATAATCAAATGTTTCACTTTTCTGTTCATGTAATGAACATTTTAAATAACATAAAACAATACATTTCAATTGTTTTATCAATAAGTCAAGTTTTACTTCACGCATATCAATTAGTAAACGATTTGGCAATGGAGATGACGGCGAAGTTAATGTACGTGTTGGTGAAACAAACGATTCAGGTAGGTCAAGCGATGATACAAGAGCTGTTGCGCCAACTAGAAAAGCATGAGATTTATCACATACTTCGCGTGGAGTTACAAAAGGTCGACGTGAGTCAATGGAGCCTAAAATTAAAAAAGGAACATACAGTGATTTTATTCTTAGAAAAGATTTTCTACATGACGTGGCTAGTTTTGCTCTGGAAAGAGATTCCAAATATTTAATTGCACTGTCAAAGCAGTCTTCGAATTGGTACTTATATAAAAATATTTGAGTGATAGTTCATTTATGTTTAAGAAATCATTTTCCTATTGTGTCCAAGGGACAGATTCTTCAAAACATGATAATACTTCGATAGAGAGATCTCTAATAAGGAAAAAAAATGTTAATTCTATATTCACAATCATGCAAATTCAAAATTTAGATTATATATCTTCTTATTTTATTTGATAGATCGTCGTTCGGTGCATTCGTAGCCTAGTTTTATTGAGCCTGTTATAATTCTCGTCAGCTAACGCTATCAGTCCCGAAGAAATTATTGCACAAAAAACTGTTTTTTTGTTTATTAATCTAAATAAGATTTTATGAATTATGTTTTGATTCATATTAACCAAGATACGTCTTACGGCAATGTAAGACAACAGTAGATAATATTTAATCCTATGAAAACTCATTATATATTTGTTACATTTTGCGTGATAAAACTTTTTTTTTCAACATTACAATCGATATTTCTACTGATTGTTGATTGGCTTTGCAAATTGTATCAAATTGCATGACTGAACATACAATACATTTTGATTCTCTGAGGGTTGAAGTGTCACATGATATTATGTAATAATATAAAATTTCTCGAGAATAACAATAGATAGACAGTTCAATGATTTGAGTGCTTATATAACTCGGAGTGAAAAATGATGAGCTATTGAAAACGTATTGTCAACAAGACCTACAAAAAAATTCTCTGCCAAGCGCGCATTACTCAGACTTTTAGTTGAAGGTCATTTTTTTCAAATGAAGAGTAAATCGCTCAAATGAAGTTTTTCTTTTTGTCAAGTTGTTTCTCACTTAATAGTCTTTATTGTGAGTACCTTCATCGTTCGTTAAATAGTAGTTGCAAGAGGAAAACTTTAGAAGAAAATAATAAAGTCCTTCTATACCAACAACCCTTGCGAAAATTAGTATCAATTGTACAAAAAAAACCGCTTAATTTCAATCGATTCATGAGAAGGAAAGTTATTAGTCAAATATAACTCAAATCTTAATGGTAACAACCACAAAATTGTCAATCCGTCTTGAGTATGCGCTCAATATTAGAGGGAAAAAAATTATTATCATGATGTCATATGAATGAATTAATTTTAACATAAATTACCTTGCCATGTGAGTGTTAATGGATATGAATGTGGTCGTTCGAGCATAACAGGTATCCATTGTGTAATATTTAAATATTGCTTAAGACTAATGCGTTTCGTTTGAGAATATTCATCAACTAACTTTGGATTTTGACTCAATATATCAATAATAAAATCTGCCAATAAAAACATGAGCGAACGTTTGCCACTTGCTGCAGATTCTTTAATATTTAATTCGCAGATATCAATTAATTCATCGCATTTAATATCGAAATATTGTCTCAATTTAAGATGTTTCAGTAAGATTAAATGTTCATTTATTGAGCATATATCAATCGATGGTAAATATTTGAATTCAAATAAAATTAAATATTTTTCTTTATTATTTATATGAAATGATGACGGATCAAACATTTGCTGGCATGAGCAAAGTTCACCTGTCCGATTAGGAAATAAACGACTTGTTGATAATGTATCTTGACAAACAACGTCAGTTAAAATTAAATTTGCACAATTTGACAAAAGCCATTTACCTGTAAAATACAGGAAGAAAAAAACATGTTTCTTAAATTATATATTCAATCTAGATAGAGTAGACAATTTCTAATTAGTATAAATAAGAAGTCGAAATAATAAATTGTAGAAACATTATACTTAAAAAGAAATCAAACTAGAAGTTATCATGAAGGTCAAATTGAAGTATCCTTGTAAAAAAAAGCTACTCATGCATATACTTCATGTATAATCAGATTGTTCTGCGTTTAATTATAGAGTTGTCAGCATGATTTCAATTGGTTTGAAAACTACACTATTGAATTTCATTGCAACGAAGAAGTCTGTGTGTAAAATAGAATTTATGTTTTTTTTTATAACTAACATGGCTCTTAGAGTTCATAAACGGTTACAATTCATTGAAAAGTAAACATATTTTATGATGAATAGATCATATTTGAACCTTTTCAGACAGAAGAAAATTCTATATGAATAGTTTCATTTGTTAGAGAAATCACTTTGCAACATAAATGTGCTCATGTAAATAGTTTTAGTTCATTTCTTTTATATAAAAGATGTTTACAGTTTTTAAATGGCTTCAGTTTATTGGTTGATGCTGGCATCAATAGAAGTGAATATAGGAGAAAACGTTCTCTTGTGGTACTAACTTTCAATCAGATAAACCCCTGTCGGAGATATTCGAATGAGCTCAAAACAGAAATTTCTCGTTCTCGAACAATAATTGAATTTGATAACAGTAAGTTTTGATATATTCCGATGTTCCATAGATTTTCAATATACACAAAGTGTATGATGTGAAATTTATTTTGAAATTTTTGAAATTCTAATCATAACGTAGCTAAGTTATTTGCTTTGAACTCGTAGAGTCAATATACTAATATATATATATATATATTGATAGGAAAAGAAGATTTGTTTACCTAAAAATGCCATTTTTTGCTGGTCATGTTTAAATGGTACGTTAATGATCGATGGATTTGATTGTTGTGGTGATGGTATGTTTACTTGTGGTGGTTGTTGTTGTTGCTGTTGTTGTTGTTGTCCAATCGTTGTTATAAGATATCGAGCAACATGCGTAAAATCATGTATGACATAACCTAGTTTATCTAGCAAAATTCTTGAATCACTATCTGTAACATGAATACATTGCTTTGGCGGTTGTAAATCAACAGGTAATTTTGTGCCGGATTCGTAGATATATAAAATATTATTTAAACTAATGTATCTATATTGTTGTTGATTTAAATCAGTACTTAAATAGGCATTATCAAATATAGGTAATTGTTTGATACATTGAATGTTTGAATCATCTAATTGCTGTGTCATTATTCGGGATAAATATTGTCGTAACAATTTAATATCATGTTCATTTAATAATGTATTAAATTCGTGTTGAATTTTTAATTGTGTAAAATGTCTTAGACGACATTTAAATATTTGTAATAAACCTAAGCATGATAATTGTGGAACATAGTCCTCAACGCATTTATGGCGGCGAATCATTTCAGGAAATGGTTCAATACAATAAAAGTTTAATTTTACTAAAACTTTTTGTATAGCTAAATCATCTTTACTAGGAACAATAGGTAACTGAATAAGACCAATGTTTTTTGATAATTTATACAATGATATTGTATTATTAGCTGCTGATACACCCAATGGACGTGACAATGGTTGTAGATAAAGAATATTTGTATTTTCAAGCATAGTTAAATCAGTTGGAAATTTTTCATTGATATATTTCCAAAGATTTTCAAGCCATTCAATATTATAATAATCATGATTTCTAGGCCATTGAATACAATCATCACCACGACGCCATTCACGTGGTAACATAACCAAGTCAGCAAATTCTTTTGGTGGCATTGATTGAAGTTGTGTACGATCTATATATATAGTCGAAACATTAAAGATGTCGATATATAAATGTATACGTATATTACTAATTCTTATGAATCATTGTTATATTCGATATGAATGTCAAAATAAATCTTATCAACTATACTGTTCTTTTTTTTTCGTTATGTCTAATCTCTATGTAAATCTTGTTGATCTATCGAGAAGAAGAAAAAAAGACAAAATACGTACATAATATACATACATTGGAATCGTAGTTTTACATTATTCTTTAATGATTACATCAACCGAACAGCATATGTCTATTCATTCATTTATGGCTGTATTTAGTTGCTGGTCAACATGTATGATAAGCCAATTCATTAGTATACTCGATTAATTAGTAAATGTCAACAACATTTCCTATTCTACTACGTTTATATCTATAAATGTATGTTTGTCTGTGCCGATTGTCTAATCCTAGCAGTGCTTCTTTCTGTCTAGATTTATTTAATATCAAAAAGAAGAAGAAATCTCATTGTGTCTGCCTTCTGGTTCTTATTTCTTTAACATTGTCTCGATTAAAAATGAAATTTTAATAGTAGCAATCGCTTTTTATAGTAAAAGTTTGTTAATCAGAGGTCAAGATTACATAGTGTCCGTTTTCATTATTGAAATCAGATCTTTTTTTTCCTTTTTTTTCCTTTAAAAAGAACATAGTAATAAAGCATTCGAATCATTAACAATTGATGATTTAGAAAGTTTACACGTTCCAATACAATAACTTTTTATCGATAAGATTTGTAAACATTGAATTTCTCATAAATTATGGATTAAGTCTCCTATCGACAAGGTCGGATGACACATTGCCTTGGGTGAACAAGAAAAGAAAGAGGAAAAAAGAAACCAAGAAATTTACGTGCTTAACAACCTACACACACGTTACTTGTCACGCTCGTATATATTCGGGTGTCCTTCTCGGCAATGCGAGGCGTGCTTATTCGTTCGTTCGTTTAGTCGAAAAAGAAAGAGTGAAAGCACTTAGACGTTTAAATGTATAGATGTGGTTTTGCGGCTTGAGATTCGATCAACGCTGTCATCGTCATCGGCCCTTGCATAAGCACAATAAAACCGAGAGAGAGAGAGAGAGAGAGAGAGAGAAAAACCTAAGAAGATTAAAGATTAGCACTGATATGTGTACACATGTGTAAGCAATCGATTGTGAATGTTTTTGTTCGATAAAGACACATTTTCAAGATCAAGGTCTTTAAAAAACAAGTCGTTCATTTAAATATTTATACTGAAATCCATGTTCTTATATCACTGTTTTTGTCATTAATAAAAAGGAAAAAACCTAGTTTTACTATTGTTTTATCAACTTTATCACGAGAGAATGTGAACAATCATCTTTTCTGTTGTCAAGTTTATCAAGGATGACTGGCAGGTTTCTTTTTTCACTGACATTTGTTTAACACATATACATATATGTATAAATATTGCATATTGATAAAGCAATATAAGAATGTCGAAAATTTCTGAAGTCCAAAAGTTCACTAGAATACTACACATATTCAAGTATAAATTGTTCTTCTTTTTTTTGTCTAACAACGAAATTCAATCCTTAGTGAAAAGCGAAAAAAGATTATCGCATATATATATATATACACATTCGTTCATATATATGTATATGTATGTGCATATTCTCTTTGCTCTGTTTGCTCTAGTAAATAATCAAATCTATGTGTGTATGTTCTCATGCTGAGCAAAGAAAAAGAAGTCAGAAAGATGTTGCACAATTTTTCTATGTGCAGTCAATTAGATGATGAATTAGTTGGCACAACTGTTCAAGATACACGCACCCTCGTCCTGTTGTATCGACACTGATGCCGGTGTTGGTGTTGGTGTTGGTGTAGCAATATTGCGTGACGAAAGATAAATAGTTGGTGTTGGCGTAAGATCCCAAGTGGATAGAAAACGTGGTCGATGCTGTTGTAATGGGCCCAAATATGATGAAGAAAATAATGGAGATGAACTTCGAAGACGTTGTTGATGATGTGGAGGAAACATAGGTGGAACTCGATGAAAATAACGACTCGATGTGGGAGTTGAACGATTACTGTGGTTAATATTGTTCGAACTATTATTATTATTATTCAGAAGTGGATCATAACGATTTGATATATTCGATGTAAAACGATATCTTGAGTCCATTTGTATCTATGTTTGAGCACACAATATGCGTGGCGTAGTTTTATTTCAGGCTAGACAATGAATGTAATCATCATCCTCAATCTTCACTTTCTTCTTCTCTTTGTTCGTCGTCCGCGTGATGAAGAAGAGGAGTAGTAAGAGAGTGACGACGCATGTACAGGGACGTCATCATAAAAATCTGTACATATATGCGTAAGAAGAAAGACGAAGGGAGAGCGCGTATGCAAAGGCAATTGATGTGGGTGATGCGAGGGAGGACCAGTAATGTAAAAAAAAAGAGAAAGAGTCGGAGACAGAGGAAAAAAGAAAAGAAGAGTAGTGTATGTGTGTATATATGCACTAGTGAGAACAAGAAGAAGAGTAATACCATCACACTTTTTCTTTTTTTTCTCTTCCCTCTCTGTATATTTACTATTCTTGTGGTGATGCTAACATTGCACCGGTACGATAAAACTGTTTAATGTCATCACATAATGAAGTTGTTATAAGATGATAGTGATTGAGATTTTTGCGTAATCTTTGACAAGCATATGTTGTACAAAAGGTAAATGAAATAAAAACAATTCACAGATGAATAAAAATTGACGAAGCACTTAGAAATCAAAAGTAATCAAATTATTCAATAGTTGCACATTTATATATTGATTTTAAAATCCACAAAAGAAATATTTCTCTATCGCAAGAATAAAACAAAAAACATATTTCGTAGATGTCAATTGGTCTGTTTTTCTTTCTGCTTCTATGCATACGATAACCTTCTATTAAAAAAAAAAAGAAGAAAGTCTTGAAGTATGTTTATTTAAAATGGGACAAATTAGTTCGTATGTCTAGTGATGATTACCTTGAGACTAGTTCATTACTATAAAACTGGGTAATAACTCTCAATCAAGGCATACACTATCATTATTAAAACATACCGCAACCAATACATAAGTGTCGATGTGTATGTTAATTGCTTTCTGCGATATATAAATGAACATATTCACAACATTTATTTGAGTAGAAATGTCCTAACTACTACTTGACGATGAAATATTATGATAAGGTCATAGTTTTCTTTTTCATGGCATTATTTTAAATGATAGTTTCCATCGATTTTAACTACATAAATATGGAACGCATCATACATAGATCAATATATTCATCAAGAAATCAGTGAAAATCTACCAAGTCAAACTATTATATATTATTATCTCGTCGTTGTTTTAATATTTGTCCTAGTTTTATGGACAGAACTATTTCGATTACAATGAAAATAGCTAGACACTTGGAGTATAATTATGTAAGACTATTTCTATATTCAGTTTTTCTCTTTTCATTTTCTGTTTCAATTATTTCTGCCTTGATTTTTCAAGTTCATTTTACTAACATACAAAATGCATCACTTGAAATGCATTGACGTATAGATCATTTTCTATTATCAATTTGCATACGATCAAATTCAACAAAAAAAAAAGAAGCAAAAAAAAAGAATAAGAGTGATTAAGTATTAGTATGTAATACATTGGAATAATGTGTGCGCTTTTGTGTTCTGTTTTCTTTTTTAATAGAACAAAGGAAAAAGAAACTCGGGATTTTTTTTAAAACTATTTCTAACTATAGACATTCTCAAGGATAAATATGTTATTTAGAAAACTATTTACCCGTTTGCATTACCGACGTGTCGACTATGTGTTGTTTCGCAACTAATATCCGCGCCTTATCTATTTTCTCTCTCTCTCTCTCTCTCTCCCCTCTATTCTTTTCCCTATGAAGATATAAATATACAAAACAGACAAGCGATCCATTATCGTACCCATATTATTTAGCGATTGTTGATGTTCTTCTTTATGCAGTTGTTCATTATTGTTTATTGAAGGTTGTTGAGCGATCGTTTTAACGAGGTCTAGATCGAGTGAAATGGGGCGTTTTACATGTTTCCTAAGCCAGCCCCGTCCGATACACATAGGTACAGGTGTCTCTTGTGAATTTACATTGATTTGTGATTTATAATGTTGTGATTCTTTTGAAGTAGTTTTTGCATTATTGGATGCCGCGGATGTTTTATTTCGAAATATGGACAAACTTTTTGATGAAAGAAAATTACTGAAGAAAGTGTTACGCTTTTTCGATGGATTTGTTATGCCAGAGGCTGATGCCATGGACGAATAGAAGTAGAAAAATGAAAGAACAAGAAAGCGGACTCTTCAAGTCTATTCACTCTAATACAATCTTAGCAAAAGGATCTTTTCTTCTATTCCTTTTGACATACATATATACATAACGTTTTCTTTCTCTTGTCGTCCTTTTGTACATTCTGTTTTTTTCTCTTCTTCAAATCTCTCCCATTTCTTTTTCTTTTTTTTTATATGCTTGTTTATCAGAACACCTGAATATGTGCGTATAACTGATGTATAAAGGAAGAAAAAAACGACTCTAAACAAGAGTCAAAATATATAAAATGACATTTGGAAAATGTGTCCGGTTATTGTGAAATAAAAAGCTTTCAATGTCATATGATTAGAAAAGATCTATTGAACACATATGGTTATAATTACATCGATAAATGTTATATCAAAACGTGAATATCGCAGGCAAAGAAAAGTCATATTCATTTTCGAATCTTTATCATAGAAATAACCATTAACTATAATATAAAAAAAGAAATTAGAGCGAGAGAGAACTTGAAATGAGCCATTTTCTTTTGATGAATCTTAATTTATTATTTATGACTTTATTTTGGCGTATATTTATCAAGTATTTTGTTATCTTCTACTTTTGACTAATTCTTTATGAATAACATAAAATCATCAAATGTCCACGACATTCTTTATCAAATTTTATTATAGTCATTAGAATTCTTCTATTCGATAACGAAAACAAAAATGATGCTCACTTCTATGCAGATCAAAAGTTTTCTCTGGAATTCAATTAGAATTTCTTGCGCATGATACTTTTTGAGAATATTTTTGCAAACAAAGACATTTTTTTAAATGATCGATAATACGTAATGATCGATGAAAATCTTTTCGTCGTTTGTTATTTTTTCTCAGCTCCTCCTTCGAGTTTATACAATACTTTAAGTGACAGGTCTCAAAACTAATCTTGATTGATATGTCAACATGAATTCATTCATTCAATGCTCTACCTTATACCGACTCTAATTACACAGTTCGATTTTCGTATACTTGCTTACTTAGTCCTCTCGCTTTATTCGATCACAAAAAAGAGAAAAATGTCAACATTAAGTTGCATCATGCTTTGCTTTTGCTAATCGATATATACATGTACAGATACATACTATTCGTTTTTTAAAAGCATAGTGAAGGTCCTATATATATATATATATTTAATTTAGTCTCTCTCTTTTTTTTTCTTGGTCGGTTTTTACTATATTAGTATGTGTCAAGCTTATTTGAAAAGAATTTCAATATACAAAGTCGGATAAAAGAAGAAGGAAAATTAAAAATCATTATAAAATGTTTTCGATGAAACGATTAAGATGAATAAATGAGTACTAAATATATTACCTTTATATGTAAAATTACAAATTAAAGGTTCACCACTAGTTTGTTCTCTATACCGATGAACAGGAGTTGTCAACAAAGTATTTGTTTCAATTTTATACGTAGGTGAAGATTTTTTCGAAGGTGATGAAGGTTTTATTGAACAAGTTGTAGTATTACCCATTGAAATAGCGATAATTCAAGAAGAAGAAGAAAAATATTAAGAAATGAATGCAGTCTATGATTCTATTTCAAAATAGAAATTAAATTTCTTCTTCAATATTATTTTTCTTGTTATTGGTTGTAATAATCGTTGATGTACTCTTTCGTCGCTGTATATTTTGTTTTTTGCTTGAATAAGTATCAACATGGGAAGATCAGTTTTCAGAATTATTCGATTTAACAATACATATCGAGGTCTTACCAAGAAAAGTTCATAAATGCGTATGATTCAAACGTACAAAAGAAAGCTGAAAAAAAAGTACTGCGACGTACGCGTATTATTCAAGTGCTTACTAAAGCCACCAACCAACACCGGATAAATACAATTTTGAATAGCAATTGTTTTTAATGCCGAGGAATAGCTCAGAGAATAACACAGTAGAAGAGAGAAAGACACGTTGACAAAAGAAGAAGAAGGGAGAAGAAGGAGACCAGCAAAAGAAAAAATAATAATAGGTGACAAATCACACCCTGAATGCCAATATCGTGCAATATTTTCTGTATAGAACCGTATGTATATATATATAAGCATGAACGATATGACAAATGATATCATTGTTATAGAGCGATGAAGAGAACAAAAGTGATTTTTCTCTCATATTACTCATGTATGTCTAACATGATAAGATTGCCTGTGTTAGTCAATGAACATGAACAGCTATAATCATTAAAAATTCATCGTTCACTTAATCATTGAAGAATGAAAGAATCTGATAAAACAAAGAAAAGCCACATTTTCTTCCCCCTGCTTGTTTCGATCTTTTTCTATCTATGAAATATGCTTCAATTACGATAAAATACACGAAATAATCGAAGTGTGCACATCAATAATTAATTGATTGGCCATGTATAGAGGCGAACATTAAAGTACTATACATGAGTGAACGTTTTTCACCTTGGCTTCGCACGTCGTATGCTTTTTTAACTTCCAAACATACAATCGATGATGATCAATTGAGTGTATTTTATTAACCTTGCTGAAAGACACATCACACTAGGATAAGATCGGAGAAGACGACGAAGAATAAGAAAAAGAAACATTTCACATAGACTTTCACGACCATTTTTCTTTATTTTCTGATCATCAGAAAGACAAACACTGATAGAGCATTGCTAGCTAGCTATGAAATATCGTTGATTTTTACCAAGTAGCTAACAGAACAGCTATTCCCAATATCATCAATATTAGGTCAATATTCAGAGTTTTATTTTCTTATTAGCTGCAAAACATCTGCAAGACATACTCCGTTATGCACTAAACCCTAAGAAATAGCTAACAGTAACGTCTAAGAAATGTCATCATGTTAATTACCTAATAGATCAATAGAAAATACTGGCATAAATACCGTTTTAATTCACGCTTCCGTAGTATTTTCTTTGGTACAATAAGAAAAAAAGAACCACTTATATCAATAGACATAAATAAAGTCATCTTTTCCTCATTTCAACTGTCAATATATGAAGCCACTCAATCTCCAGTCAATATGTTAAGCTTCCCATTCATTATTTCTTATTCATTATTACCTCGATCATAAGGTGATGGAGAAGCCGATACAGATCGACGACCACTCTCTGTTGGTTGCGTTTGTCCATATCGACTGTAATAGTTTGACCGATACATGTGCAATTGAAAACACTACGCACGCGCTCTTAGTTAGAAGAAGAAAAAGAACTTTCTACCGCCACTAGCGCTAATGTCGTTGTCGTCTATGGTGCCAGTTGGAGTCGGCGTTCGGTTTGTTGAACTAAGACATTTTTCTTTTTTTTCCTCTCTATTCTATATTCTCCTATACTTCTTTTTCTCTTTTCTATATATGGACGTTGTTTGAATATATATATATATATATATATACATGTAAAAAAAAAGAATCGTCCGCAGTAATAAGCCGACAGCAGAAAAAAAGAAGAAAGAAGAAAATGTGCCAGTTGATGACGATCTTTTTCTTTCTCAGATACAATCAAAGAACTATTGCACAGCTCTAAGATCTAAGATATAACAAGAATAATAAAACTGTAATCATACCTTGAAAGTTTTCAGATGATAAAATATCATATAATTTTCTATCAATATTTGGATTTAGAAATTTATCGTAATTTTTTTCTTGAAACAATTTTAAAACATCCGTATTATTATCGATTAAATAAATCGGCGACGCTTGTTTTCCTTGAAATGTTATAAATTGATTATTAGCTAGTGGTAGCAAATTTAATTCAATAACTAGGCCTGGATCAGGATCATTTAATATAATATATGTTAACAATGACACTTTCTGTTCATATGTTAAACGTGAAAGTATTATGGAATTTTTAGCTAATAATTCTGATGCATGAAACGGTGTCATTACTTGTAAATAGTGTTTATTCGAATATTTACATAAACCATTTATAACATGCGCAGGCAAAATAACAATAGGAGCATTTGCTTCAGAAAATACCAATGTAAGAACGTCTTGTATTGGACCTGCTTCTACATTATTAATAATCATATCTTCTATAGCTACATATCCCCAGCCATCAGTAGCTGAAAAGAATAGTTCTTGTTTGCCTAAAAAGTTCAGAACAAAAATTGATGATTTCTCTAGTTCAATCAAAGTTTCGATTGTTGAATTTTATGATTATACGGTTTTTCAATCTTCAACAATAAATAATTGGGTAATTAAAAATTCATATTAATTATTGGAATAATAATATTATTATTATTATTCAAATCAAAGACACGCTGATTAGATAGCCTTGCTACGGTCACGACTATGCATATATATATATATATATTTTTTTTTTCTTTCGCACCAATTGTTCTCTGAGTTTATTATGCAAAAGATAAATGCAATGATTCCAATGACTATCAATGCATACAAAGTAATAAAGTAGTAATCGCCGTCTAGTCAAGCAAATCTATTCAAGTAGAATAATCAGCAAACAAAAAAAGAAAAAAGAAATAAATTTGAACTTTAATAAACATCGTATAAGAATAAATGAAAAATTCTATACGAAAAACTATACATCATATCATATTTCGAGATAATATGAAACCTATGTACAATTAGTAAAGGTCAAAATTTGCAAGCTGGTAATTTATCAGTAGATTTTAGAAGTGAACAGATTTCTTAATTTGTAAGAAAAATTCTTATAAATTCAGATCACAAATATATTTTTGGAAGTTAGATCAATAGTGATTGTAAATGATCCAAGTATGTACATTACGGTCATAGCGCAATAAATGTTCTAACGGGTACCATCGCGATGTCGTCAGCTGTCTGTCTATGAAGGGCATTTCAAAAGCATACTCATTAATACTGAATTTAATTGTCCATATATGTAACATTCTGATTTTCATAGATTAATAATAGTTTTACTTTAGCATAGTCACATAGGCTAGTGTGATCATGGCACATGAACTGCTATTTTCTTGTCATAGAATTAGATCTTCTGTTTCAATGGGCAATTCTGATACGATCACTTGATATTTTAACTATTGTTCTATTAAAATCATATGGTATGGAGAGAAACCATACATATTTTATTGATGTATATAGGCAATAGTTCTATGGAATCATTTGATTGGGAATAGAAAGTTATCGAATTTATGTAATCAATTGATGGTCATGCTTTCTTTAACATGGATTTAGTTTTTGGCTAATTCTTATTAGTAGATAGATTAGGTTTAAAATCATATTACTCATCAGTAAAAATATTTGATGTTCGTGATCAATTCATGGCAATAGCGATCTTTCGTAATAATCCTAGCTAACATGATGATAATTAAATCATAAAAATGTCATAAATAACGTCTCGCAAATACGACATATCATAGATAGGTATTCATTTGAAAAACAGTTATTATAAATTACTGTTCTTTTTTTGTTTCGATCCTCTTGTATTCGATAGTGAAAATGTAATAATTTAGTACTCCTCAAAATAAAATAGAATTTTTTTCTCGCAAAAACTTACCGATTTCTATCCAAATATCTGGTGTAAGATTATGAATAATTTTAAGATGTTGCTGTTGTAGTGAGTGATTTTGATTTTGATTAAGTAAACGTTGATGTTCATCAATATCTGGCATTAATTGCCAGATAAGATCAATAGTTAAATTTAATGTTGTCGCTGGATTTATTAATCGGGATAAATTTTTTAGAAATAAAGCATATGCCTGAGGAAATTTGATTTGGCGTAATTTTATACACACATCATCTTTACATAGAGAATTCAATGATGGCATTATGCAATAATAAAGTATTCGTGATGATGTTATTTGTATTGATTGATAACTATGTTGTATTATCGATGACATACATGTCGTCTCTGGTGATAAAGAGAAAGGTACTAAGGGAAGTAAAAGTTTGAATTGAATTTCTTGTTTATCTTTTTCATTATAATCATTATAAACTGATAATAACCAACGAGATAGATTACTAAAATTAAAACAAAAAAATGAAATTTCTCTCGTGAGATTTATTTATTGAGAAAATAATTTTTCTTTTTCAATTTAAATTAAATATTTAATTCTCTCTACAGGCGGAGAAAGAAAATTCAATCTCGGCTTTGCCCTCTTGGATATTTTTTGCTTGATATTAACCATGACTTTTCTATGTGTATGTGTTATATTGAGTTACTATTCTTAATTGAAGCGAAGGATGTTGTAAATTATCCATTATATATATATACAAGTCGCAGGACAGATTAAAATCGGTTGAAATAATTTTGATCTGAACTAGTTCGCTTTAAAATTAAACAAAGAAGATTTTAAACTGAACTAGTTCAGATCAAAATTATTTCAATCGATTTTAATCTGAACTGAATTTTAATCTGTCCTACAGCATATATAGATATATATTAGTCAAACAGAATTAGAAATATCAAATGTAATCGAATAAGTTTGAAGGCTATAATAGTTTGGCATCTCTTACGCACATAACATATTTTCAATTAATATAGGATAATTTCCCGAAAATAGCAATTTTCTTTATATAAAAATAGATTAAAAGTCTTTGAAATAGGAATTGTCTTAAATAATGAAAACTTATCATAAACTTGCCAATAGCATAAGCAACAGATCGCATTTGATATAACAGTATTTTATGGTATCCGAAGAAATCTCTATCAGATAGTGTCAACAATAACAGCCAGTAGATATTTCACTTGGTTCTAGCATGTATGCGTGTGTGTGAGTGACATCTGATCTAGTTCCTATTTTCATATATTGTGTTAAAATTATCTATAGATTCGGATTGTAATTACAGACCCAAAAATGAGGAAACATCGGGTTCGCATCCGATTGTTGTGTGTACTTCAAAAACTGAGTCGATTTATATATGTTTTGAATAATTCTGAGAAAACAATTTTTTGAAAACTCCCTGTACCCCCCTCAGGGATGGTTTGGTCAAAAATGACAATTTTTTCGATAACTCAGCCATTTCTTGACGGACCCTTCTCATCTTCGAACTCAACTGAGATATTGATGAGATCTTTCTGCTTACAAAATTTCAAGACAATTGGATGAGGCTTTCAAAAGTTATCGTATTAACGATCGACCGGCCGGACAAACTGACCGAATCTGGAGTGTACCCATTTTTTTTGAGTACACAAAAATGATGTAAAAATAACTTCGTCTTTAATAAGAAGTCTTTTTTCAGTTTGATGACTCTCATTTCAATATTTAGTTTATTTGTCTTTTTAAATTTCTCAAAAGCAAAGCATCTATTTGATATATATATATATATATACTATGTCTATATTTAAGTCTCTTGGCGTACTCTATGAGAAAAAAAAGAATGAAAATGCTGATAGGTTTTTAATTATTCCATGAAGGTGAATATTGTTTTAGATGTTTTATTAATGCAATCGATGAATAAGGCATCAGTTCATTGAATATTCAAGATGATTTCATTCATATCTGATTATATTCAAAACGAATTTAATCCTCGCCAAAAATCATAAACGTTATGTGTATTTGTTTAAGAAGACTTATAATACGTAACTTTCACTTCCATACTCATTTTCTATGTCTATTCATACTATTAATCGAAGTTTACACTTTTATTTAAAAAAAAAGATCAAAAACTTATGAAAAGCTCAAATAGAAAGCTTCCCATTTAATACATATAAAACTACTAATAATGAATCCTTATTAAAGAAAAAGAAAAAACTTCTCACCTTGTATTGATATCATCAGCTTGTTTAAATAATGTCATATGGATGAGTTGCGTTGTCGATTGAGCATCATGAATTGTTGTTAATGAGTGTTTATCTATAGATAAGATTTTTGTAAATACTTGAAAATCTTTTGTATAATCAAATTCAATAGTATTTATATTTGTTTGTGTTAATAATAATTCCATACAGGATTCATTGGAATTAAAGTATCTTAAGATTTGTTGTTTAATATCGTCTAATGTTTGTATATGTGTTATTATTTGCGTTGTTGATGTTGTTCGTAATGGTAAACGTATTAATGTACCATTATAAAATGTTTTAGATTTTAATAGAAAATGATCTAATGGCGAAAATTGATCTTGAAATATTTCGATATCATCAGTTTCAAGATCAAATATAGATACATAGGCACGTTCATCATTTGTCATACGTTCATTAGGATCATAATAAACAACACGTGAACCACTTAATATGCATAAAAAATCTGATAGATGAAAAAATGATGATGCTGTTTTTGATATTGTTGATGTTGATTCGTGAATTCCAAATACATCTTCCCATTGTTGTTCACTTAATAAAGCATCATATGTTATACATAATGCAACGCCCTGATATGATGAAAAATCATCATGGATTAATGTTTGAGTATCATAACACCGATCAACAAGATAGCCATGAATGGTTGACGCACCTAATGATTGGCCGTAAGTTAAAAATGTTGAAACCAGATCACATGATGGTGCAACAGATGTTAACAAAGCACGTATTATGTCACGTAGTTGGAAAACTGGTGATGATATAATGCGCATTTTCGCATACTGTACGCTAGGTGATGAATCGTCTCCTGAGGATATAGAATTTGATTGAGCAGGATTTGCGGTAGCGGCCGATGATTCTAAATGTTAAAATATAAATTGTGAGAGACCGCTATGAAAATAAATCGTATTATATCGTTTGTATTTATATTGACTTAACCGATGTTCAATTTATATGAAATTGATAAGGTCAGTTGGTTTATAGGTAACTATAATTTTAATTTCCTACATATTGTCATTTTCGAAAGCGAAAAAAATGGCTGCTGAATAAGAAGTCGTATTTCTTTGATGTTCTTATTGGTAGAGACAATAAATAAGTCGTACAAATTCCGGTGATACATGCATAGATGAAGTGCGAAAAAGAAATCTACTAACCACGAAGTAGCTTATAGCTGAATGAGTAATATTGATTGAAAGAAAGAAAAAAAGACAGCCGAAACTTGTTCCTAACGTTTTTTAATACTTATCCCATATGAACAAAAGCTGAATGAGAACAACTCATAATTTTTTTTGTTGTTTCATTAGGTCGATATTCGGTGAAAAGTAATCGGATACTCTTCAAACTTTCGTTCTTTGTTCTTCTTTCGTTAAAAATGAAAAAGAAATGAATAAATGACCACTAACACTGCTATCACCACTACGGGCGATCGTCTATACCAACGAACCGTTTACATAACTTACCCGAATTCAACTCATTGAAATCTATATTCATCACTAATAAAATATATGATCACACTAGTGATCTATTTTGATAAAAAGTAAGAATAATTGTTTTCGACTTGATAAGTAGAAAAAAAGAACAACAAAAAAAAAGACAAGGAGAAGAGATGAGCAGTCTTAGTGGCGTACGTAAATATTTATACGTATTTGATGGATAGTGAAGGATGATTGGTGGAAGAGAGAGGAGACACTATACAATAGAAAGAAATATGTCGTCGACCTTATCATCTACACATACGGTAATAATGACAAAAAATTTAACTGATTGAATGTATTAGTCATTATATATATATAAATATATACGCGAGTTCTTTACAAATTACCTATTAAAAATAAATTATATCAATGAGGCACGTTTTAGGGTATCTAGCATACTAAAGCTATTCAAAAACGTCGTATAAATAGAAGATATGAATGTTCTATTTCTGTTTACCTTTCATTTATTCTAAACATGTCACGATACAATTTCTTGACAGGTCATATTTCCGTGTTTTTTTTAAGTATGCATTTTATTTCGAACAAACCAAATAGAACATGTTAATCAAATAAAATTGAAAGTATATATCACGATATGTTTTAGAATAAACAAATATGCATCGCATAAAGTTTTCATCCATGTATATATATATATTAAGATTGACAGATTTTTCTTATGTGAGCAATATATTTTTAATAGACTATGATTTGTCGATCTATATAAATTCGTTACGGTTCAATGTATACATTTAAATAAAATACACATTGAATAAAACAAAAAAAGATAAGTATACGATGTCGAAACTTCTTTACGAAAGCAATAAGAAGCTGTCACGGTCATGCATGAACCATACCAGAACTAATTGTTGTCATGAAAAATCGCGAAGGGTATAAAACTGAATATATGTTTTACTTCTATCAATTTCGATCGAAGGAAAGTAATAGGACAAGTGAGTTTTTCATTTTGTTCATGATAATTACAGATTAAATCAAAGCTGACATGTATGAGAAAGATCAATGAATGTTAAGTTGTCAATCAAAATTTGCATGGATTATTTTTGCTCAACTCAAGCCAATAATCTGATTAAATTGAAAGAAAATAGCTCAAAACAAAAGTTGACTTAGTAAATACATAGTTTTCGAATATACTCTATACGTTACGTTTTCTTTTTTGACTATCGAAGAGAATATAAAAAAGAAAAAGCCGAAGACAAGGAAAACAGGCAAAGAATGAAAAAAAAAAGAAATCTTACTCTCACCAAGATAGTAGACNTAACTGATTGAATGTATTAGTCATTATATATATATAAATATATACGCGAGTTCTTTACAAATTACCTATTAAAAATAAATTATATCAATGAGGCACGTTTTAGGGTATCTAGCATACATACGTTACGTTTTCTTTTTTGACTATCGAAGAGAATATAAAAAAGAAAAAGCCGAAGACAAGGAAAACAGGCAAAGAATGAAAAAAAAAAGAAATCTTACTCTCACCAAGATAGTAGACATTTATGATGGTATACCATGTGCATGTATAAAGTTTACAACAGAAATAGAATAAAAAGTTTAAAAGCAAAACTAAAAGCATCAATCACCACCATAGGATTTTGTTAATAGCATAGAATAGAATTGAGAACCTCATACTGTTGCTACTACTATTCGGACTTTTTTTCAACATTAATAATCTTTTCCAGTATATATTGTATAGTGATATGTATTTGATCTGCTTTCAAGGTAATGATCTGACAAAATGGCTGGAATTTTTCAAGAAAGAAGAAAGAGAGAACTAATAATTCTATGATTTATTGAAAAATAAATTGAGTACTATTCACAAGCGTTGCATTTATATAAAAGAAAAAAAAGAACCTTTCATCGTCTTTTTGTTATCTGTCATCGTAATGAAAGGCAAATTCATTTAACCTATGTCACTAGAAGAAGAAAAAGAAAACTGTCTATCGATCAACGAGTATGCAACCTGTCACCATACTTTCCAAAGAGGAAAATGAACAACAGCTGGTTGATCTAACACGGTCTTATATAGGTGGGGAAAAAACGGTAAAATAATCAATCTATCGTTAGCAGTTAATCGCAGTCTCATCAACTTTCAATAAACAAATTTATATACACATAAAGAACTAGTCTTGCTCTAGGTCTTATCCGCCGCCATAGCATTCAATGTGTCTCTTGTTTGTAGAAAAAAGAATCGTTTGATCGTAAGATTTTTTTTTCTTGTATCGGTACCAAAAAAAAACAAATCAGAGGTACAATATATCTAGAGTCGTGACTTAAAAATATACAGAAAGAAAAAAGAAAGAAAGAAAGAAAGAAAAAAGAATACATCGATACGTTCGTTATTACTCTCAATATATGCTCGAAAATCAAAATTAACAACTATATATTTGTTATCTGGTTTCGATCAACTATTAATCCCTAGATATACAACATGTGTGTACATACAGCATAGATCTTCCTACAATTTTTGGTTAGATTTGGAGTCAGACAAAACGATCTTGACTAGCGAATATTTAGAATGAACGAAATAAAAAAAAGTCACTGATTCTATTATATAATTTTCAAGAATATCCTCTTCACATGTAATTAGTATGGATTTCATAGTAATTCTACCATCGAAAATGGTATTTAACTTATAATTTAATTTCTTGTTGTTAGAAGAAAAAAAAACAAGGACCATTTCCTTTAGATTAAATGTTGATTATGAATGATAAGAATCATAGTATTAAAAACATTTTCCTTGAACTTTTATATGAATGAAATATTGAAAAGCAAGAAAAAAGATGTACTCTTCTTATGTTCATTCGTTACATCGCAATCAAAGATAATCGAAAGGTTGGGCAAGTCTATAATACGAAGAAGAAAAAATTGAAATTTTCTGAAAAATAAAAACATTTTTTCTTTTATGTTAGTAAATATATTTTTCATATTTTATGCCATTTCATTGTTAAAATTTCTCACCTTGATGTATGATGACTGTTTTTTTGGGTCGTTTACGCTTAGAATTCTTCATTTAAATAAACTTCCAATAATATCGACAGATGAGTAGTAAACGAAGATAGATTTATCGTTTTTATCTGAATATTAATATGCAACGTTGTAACTTTTATTATTCAACCAAAATGAACAAGCAATAGGTTAAAAGTAATAGTGAAATTTTTTTGTTGTTGTTCTCTTTCATTTGCTCGCTTATACAGTATCACTCATCATATTGAATGATGAACAGCGTCGAAATGGACGCTAAAATATTTGTCGCTGCTCACCAAAACGGAAAAAGAAGACGAAATAAGGCTTCTCTTTTTCTTTCTAAATACAAATGGTGAACGCCTTGACACATGAGAAAGAGGTTATCAATACAACTGCCCATACTATTACTATGCATCGTCATCTCGCTCTGCCTCTCTTTATTGTACATAATGATCGTATGTTTGTTCAACACACTATGTGTTCTCAATTACGACACATTTTCCATCGAATCGAACGAGCATATTTCTTGTCAGACAAACTTTTTCAAAGTCTTCAATCCATCAGACACTATTGTGAAGTATTTTTGCGAACAATACCAATCGAAATAATTGTCCTACAAATTCATACAACTCTTAAATTTCTTCTTATATATGTATACACGCATATAAATAGTATCGTAATAGTATCTTTTGCTACTCATATATATGTCCATCGAAGTGATTTGATCCCATTTTGATCCGTAAAATGGATATCAAACAATCAACTTCAAATGTTCATATTGTATATACTTATACGTTTTTATGATCTTTCATAAAAGTGCCTACAAATATTCACAAACAAAAAGAAACTATTGATACGGCAAAAAATATTGAAAAAGTATGATGCTAAAATTACACGACATCTATTGAAATGTCAGTATACATATATGTATGTATGTATTCATTCAGATTGAAAGAAGATATTTTAATTACTTTCAAAAACTGTATATCATCATCTATTCGTTTTTCTTCTTCTCTTCGCACAGTAGTGATCCTAGGGGCGCAATCAGATGGGGGCTGGCTTAGTCCCCTAGAAAAAATAAGTTTAGCCCGCCCTACGATAGCTTTGACCAACGACTTAGCATCCCTACAATTTTTTTCTGGTGACACCCCTAATTGATCATTATTTTACTTTCGATAGAACGAATTTTTTCTTCTCATTAATACAAGAAGACGAAACATTTCTACGATGAATAATAGCACTAGAATAAAATAAAATAGATAACCTTGCCTTGTATACCATTCATTCTCAAATAGAATAATATCCTTTCGAAACCTTTTTATCAAGGATAAATTACATTAAAAAAAAGTTTCTATTTCATCCGTCATAAAGTATCAATCGTTGAGAAATAAGCAAATGGACCATTTCTTCCAAAGTCTTCATCCATTATAATTTACACTTTGATGATAATATAGTAATATACAAGAATGCATATTATATTTAGCTCATTTATACATCTTTTACATTTCAACATTGAATATATATACATATATGTTATATAAAAAAAAGAACGAAATGTATATTTTATTTTATTATTATCAATATCTCACATAATCATAATAAGCATTGCCCGATCATAACGAAGTCAAATGGCTATTGTTGCCCTTCTGTCTATGTATCTCATGAGAATGCCGAAATGTAGTTATATGTAGAACATACAAACATATATATAGATATACGCACATATATCGACTGCAGTTAAGAATGCATAGCACTATACCGCGAGAGAGAATAAATCAGTAAAATACATCGGTCGACTAGCGCCTGCAGATGTGTGCGCATGTCTAATTCTGTTCGCTACTCTTAAATGATCAAAGTAAGTAACTGCTTGACTATCGGACAATATATGTGCGTGACTGAAATTATGTTCGATCAATCAGTAGACAAAATCGATTTCGCTTCAATTATCATTTTATCTTATACTGATAAATCTAGTTCAAGTAATTATGATTATAATACGAATTGAAAAATTGAAAAAACAAATCCGTTAATGAATAGATAATATTTTTTTTTTTTTCTATACTCAAATATGACCTTGCATGAACTAGTACTGGTAGTTATTTTGTGAGAAAGTTCTTGTTTAAAGCAAATCGTTTCGAAGAACAAACAAATAACAAAATTATGTATCAAATGAATTGAAATAAAACGAAATGAAAACAGATGAAAGAATCTCACAAACACAAAAGAAGCGTCCTTGTCATGTAATCTTAGCGAAGTAAAAAATAAAAAAGAAACTATTAAACGAATTCTTTTGTCTACCTGCATGGAACTTATTTTTAATGGATGGTGAAATTTGTTTAGCAAAAGATGCTTCGTTCGATGACGATTCAGGACTGCTCGTGGCATGATCATTTTCATTTTTATTTGCTGTTGATATTGTAGTTGTTGGACGAAATATTTTACGAAATTTTCGCATCATAATTATTGTTGTCGTCGTTTATTTGACAACAGGTCAAACATCAAACAAAAATGATATCATGACGACCAATACGATAGTTCAAGAGACGAGTAGCACCAGTGACGTCTGACTGATGAGAAGGTTGATGAAGAACAAGCGCGGCGAACAAGAAGAAGGAGGAGGAGAGGAGGAGAAGAAAGAGAAAACGAACCTCTTTTTCTGTCTCTCTTCTCTTCTCTTCTTTCTTTCTCTTGTCTTTCTTCCGTATGCGCTTTATGTGTGCGAGTACACAGTAGCGAGTATTTTCTTTCTTTTGCTTTGTAAGGTAAAGAATGGTTGTGGTTGTTGCAACTACTAACACCACAAAAAGGAGATGAAGAATACGACGACGACGACGACAAAAAAGAAAAGAGCACAAATGTATACAAACGAGATAAACAAATATCTGAATTGTTATTATTTCAAAAAAACGAAAAAGAAACTAAATTAAGATACTACATGATATATACCTTAAGATGAGCTTACTAATTATTCGCTTTCATCTGAGTCATTTGAGACATGCATATGACAAAAAAAACGACAAGAACAAAAGCCTACGTAATGTAATTCAGTCTGAGAATATTATCGAGCATACACAGGCGACGAATGATAATCACTTCAATCGCTATTCATTTTGTCGCCTAAGCGGATCTCACCTATATTCATATATATATACATATACATATAAGCAATACTAATGATGATACATTAACGCGCCCTCCAACCTCGTTCTCTCTACGAGCCCTAATCACAATAAGGGTGAGTGAGAGAAAAAACCAGACAATGAACATGCGTTAGTGCTCAGTCTACTGAGTGCGAACATTGGAATGGCTAATTTATGCGTTGACTGCCAGTGACCATATGTACACCCGCCCATACATCTCTATGCATGGTATGATATATGTACACATACGTATGTATATATATATGAATTTGCCTGTCGATGTAGGCTGGTCCCATAAGGGTCATTCATCTTTTTCTTTCTGATGCAGTGTCATTAATGTAACCAGTAAAATTTTACTTCAGGTACTTTATATTGATTACTGTCAATGACATATGTGCCCTACATCTGATATTAAATATAAAGTGTGTCTTTGTTCATGTCTGCAAATAAAGTGCGTGTAGTAAAACGTCAACCTTGATCTCAGCATATGCATATTCAGGCGATAGAAGAGGCAGCTAGTACTACAAATAGTATTGACACTTCAAGATGCTTTCTATTGAATAAACGACAACAATAACAACAACAACAAAAACATAACAAGTTTTATTCTATCATATAGCCTTTAGAATTCTACGGTTGCTCGATATAACTTATCTCTCTCTTTCTCTCTCTCTTGTTCTTCATCGGCACTGAAAGTTCAAGGTTTAGCACTTGACAAATACATAGAAAAGAACAGTGTAAATCCATCAAATGCTTCTTTTTTGTCTTCTCTTTTCACATTTCAATTTTAAAACAAATGAAAAAAGGTTATTGCAATCAATCGATTACTACACATTTTCTTTTTCTTTTTTTTAATGGAATAAATCAACTAAAATGAACACGTTTCTTTTTTTTAATATTTGGTTGATTCATTTGTTGACGTTTTTCACGACGAGTTAATTTTGGTTTTCGTTTACTTGTTTTCTTCATATGTTTATCATAGCGACGTTGTCGGGTAGCAAATGTACGTTCACGATCAAGTTCCCATTTGATTTGTTTCATTTCTAATTACAAATCAAATCAGATATAATAAAAATAAACAAACAAATTTACATACCTCTTTCATTATTCACTTGGAAATTTTCACGAATATTTTGATTGCTGACTGTGTCATGTTCATTATCATCGAGTTGCACATCATCGGATAGTTCATCACCATCATTTAATGTAAAAGGACGATTAATCGTATCCTCATCCTCGTCATTATCGTAATCATCATTTTCTAGTTCATCGGTACGGTGAACACGTTGAACAGTACTATAGAGAAATGTTTTGAAAATACAAAATAAAAATCATCAAACGATTTTAACAAACCTTGCAATATCTTCGACACTGTTATTATCGTTTTCATCAAGGTCGATTTCGTCTTTATCCATATCGTCCATAAAATGATCTAATGAACATACAAACAAACAATAGAAATATTCAGTGATTTGTTTCACGAAAAAACAATCCTAGGTTACGGATGAATAAATCGCTTATGCCTTTCAGTATTCTGCATTATCGTTTGAAGTTCTCCTTTTGGGTAAATACGAAATCATCACAGCTGAAATTTTTATAAGATTTTCTTTTTTTGATACTAAAATAAAGCGTTATCAACGAAATCATAAACATATATTGATAATTATGTTAATGCTATTGTCAATACAATAGAGAAATACATTTTTACGATCTCAGAATTACAATTACACCATAGGCTTTTACGATAGGAGAGATACCATACATTATAATATTATGTAAATTTATTATCTAACTAGTAGTAAGATTCATTTTTGTTTGTGATAACTATATCTGACATATCAATGTTTAAGTTTCTCTTCAATATTATTCTTTCCATTAAAACTGAATCAATAAAAAAAGAACTAAATTATATTTATACTCTGATGATAATATATAAAGTTCTCAATGCCATTTACTGTTAGACATATATACTACATATATATATATATATATGTTAAATATTCAAACAAATCTATTTTTTATTTTATAGATTTTGCCAATTTATGAAAGCCTGTCGACCTTGTTTGCCTGCACACATGCCTGCTATTCTCTTTCGTCAGTGTGACCGATCTGTTTATTTATCTTTCATATCAATGCTATGATAATCATTGAATAAAAAAAAGTATAAAAGACCATCTATATCATACTGAAATAACATAACGATACGAAGCATGTGCTAATCTAAACAGAAAATGTCCCCGTCGAAAAAACACAAACAAAGAGAATATTAACATTTAGATAGAAACTTTGTTTTTGAACAAGAGAATTTTGAACATATCAAATGAATACATCGAAAGAAACATTTCAACTGCTTTTGCCTAAAGACAAGATTAATATAAATCAAACAATCCTAAGAACTACTCTCTGATTTATGTAAAGTAGTAATACTTATAACCGATTAGCAAGTGCGAAAAATAACGTAAATCAGTTAAATCAATCAATAGACAATGTCGTCACAAACTATGATGATTTTTGATAAAAAAAAATAGGCCATGGCTAATATTTTAGTGATGAGAATGCTTCACTGTGTATATATATATATATACGTTTATTGCTAAAATAAAACTGACTGGGAGAAGCAATAATCTAGTTTATAACTCTGATATGTACATATTGTAATTGAAGTGGAATATAGAAAAGAACGATTTCTATTTTAAATAAAATCAAACGCAGATTTTTATCAATAAACAAATGCTTTAATCAATATTCAAGCATTCTCTATTCGATTTTGTTACGAAGCCAATATAGCATGATTAAATAGTTTTGTTACGGATCATAGAATCCTTCTAGGAGAAATAGTAATAATAATTATTATTATTATAATAACTACTTCTTCTTCTTCTTATGTGCCTCCTAGCTTTCAAAGACTTCTATGGTTATTCTATGAAAATAGACGAATTTTTTTTGCTGTTGATATTAGCCTCATTTAATCTTGAGAGATACTTCATATTTTCAATATTTCACTCGTTGATTATTTTATAATACAAACTTTGCAATTGAGAGAATATTGTCAACAATAGTCTCAATGATTTGTTTTGCCTAAGACTAAACAGTTTGTTTTAAAAAACCTTTGCTTACCCAAATATTTATCAAATTCATCGTCTGAAACACTTGAAACGCTTTCATTATCATCAATGTCGTCTTCAGAAGATTTTTGTTTTCTTTTCTCCTGCGCTAATTCACTATTTTCTTGGCGCATTTTCATAAATCTAAATAACAAAGTTTAATCTTGTTTTTCCTTGAATTTAAATAATAAAAACAGACGTATAAAGAAAACGTTCATCGACTGGAATGTGCGCCGAATTTAATCGTGTATATTCACTGCTATCAACAGGCACGGCTTTAACACCTTTCGGTAAATAAAGATGGCCAGCAGCATGACGAGATTTCTTTCTTAGAATTTCTAATCAAATCAAATTTAAAAAATAAGTGTTAACGTATAAATATGTTCTATTTTACCATGTTTTGTAATTTGTTTCTTTGGATTTTTATAAACAAAACGATCAAAAAATCGCATCGAATTAAAATCAACTAATGGATTACCATTATAGTCGATTGACTTTCCCTAGAACAGCATAAAAATGATAATACAAGTAGAAATAATTGCAAAAACTAACCGAAGTGTTAGGTTCAAACACAAATAATTTTCTTTCTTTTACAATTGTCTTATAAGAGAGAAACTATAGAAAAGTACAAGGATTCACCACTGTCTCAGCTACTTGTAAATATCATTTCGTCCTCACTGATTACCAAAACAAATTTTGTAAAAAGTCAGTGAATTTAATTGACGCAATGTATACACTTTGATGCAACATGTTAAGCTGATGTTTCTTTGAAAATCGATAATTGTCATTTTCTCATTAGTAACTGATTGGTTTCCGCAAGTGTGATCAAAAGTTGGCCTCGATAAGTTTGAATAAAACAATTGATTTGATACTTTTACGTAAAACTCGAGATAGATTTATAAACTACAGTACCACAAACATTTATATAGACTGTGCAGCACACCTATGCCAGAGATATCTTTACATTTTTTCGCATGCGCTCTGTCATGTTTTATTTTACAGTTATTAACTTACATCAAAAATATTTTGAGCAAATAAGGCAACCGTCGGATGAGCATGATTTTTAAGAAACATCAATTCATGTAAACATGTATAATCACTGCCACAATATAATGGATTACGCTTATGTATATCGTAATGAGTCGCATGATTGTGAGTTTTTTTATTTAAATTTTTATGATCCCATGAACAGACTTGCGGTACAATTTGTAATGGTTGATTATCTTCTTCAGTAACAACATCATGAAAATGTTCTTCTTCGTCATCATCATCTTCCCCTGTTTTATCACCTTTTGATGATAGAATATTTGGTTTTTGAGAAAACAAAAGCAATCTTTGACCACTTGGATGTCGTTTGACGACTTCAGATATAAGTAACAGTATACCACAAATAAATGGTACATCATTAAAAAGACATAATTGTAATAGACGTTTAATAAATGCCTATAAGTCGAATAGAATATTTTCGTTTTACAACATAAAACTTCTAAAGATAGGAAACAAACTCGTATGCGAGGTTCCATGGTATCTTTTAACATTGATTTAAATATAAGATTGAGAAATGTTGAAAGCATTTTAAAATTTTTCCATTCTGGTTCGGATAATTTTTTATATAATGCATTGAAATATCGTTCATCAATTTCAGATCTTGAGAAATTAAAATTAAAAACACAATTCATTTTCTGTAGTTTTCTATGCTAAATTAATATTTACCGTTGTTCAGCGATACGAAAAAGTAATTGTAATGCTCGAACGCTGGTTTTGAAATTTGTTGAATGAACAATACGAAATAAATCATTGAGATGTTCCATAATATTTTCAAGATCAACTAAAATGCCAAATAGAAAGAGACTTAATCATAAGAAAAATCGACTAATCTTTGTTTATCATTCTCTAATATTATGCATTAATGGTCTCTATTTCGATATCAACAAATCATATATACTTCAGTTATAATATGGTGACAACTACAAAATATTAGATAATTAAAATTTCTTTTTCTTGCTATTAAATCCTATCAAAAATTGTTTCATGATTCAATTATGAATAGAGAGTAGAATATCAGCTGTAAAAAATATCTAGATGGTTCAAGAGACAAAGACCAATAATGAGAGAGTAAGATATTTTCTTTGATAGCATTTCTTGGTGGCTCACAAGAAAAGGTTATGCTTTTCGAGTACAATTTCCAATGTTCACTATTTGTCGATTTGAAAAACACTATTTTTGAGTAATGTAGTTATACGTCACACACAAGTCGTATTTCTTCTGGCTAATTCAGATTTATTTATATTATATTTTGCGTACTATTCTATCCTGCATACAGATCAGTATTTACGTTTGAAAGAGCAGAGCACAGTAGGCTCTGGAGATTCCAAACAATGATAAGAACTATTCTTCCATTTATTAACAATGTGTTATTATTTAGAAAGAAATCTTCTATGAAAGCATCACAAAAACTATACTATTACATAACTCGTGGTACCTGCCAGAGATATAACAAGGCTACTGTGAAGAAAAGATCTAGTGTGTTCATTTATTGCTTTTGTTTGTCCTTGTATTGCTTTTATGTACTATTTAATATGGCAATGATAAGTGAATAGAAGTAGGAGGGTGGTATTATAAGAATACAAAGAAATCATGGAGTATATGGATGATTTATAGATAAACTGCAATATTTCTCCATTGAGAATAGAGCACCAAGATAACATTAACATTGAGAATAAAAAGGCTATTGCTGAGTAAAATGAATTCGATGAATTGAAACTTAAAACAAGAATAATGGCTCTATAATATTGTCAAGTAACAATAATCGATTAGAAAGAATAGAAACTATCTTATGCAATAGAAATAAAATTTCTCAGATAGTGTTTCATACTATTGATTCTAAAGAGACTTTGAAAATTTCTAAACAATTTTGAATCGACTACTAATACTATAAGAATATTTTTTCAGTTTTTTTTTTCTGAATGAAATATTACCTTTAGCAAATGAAATAGCTCGAGTAACGCCACCAAGAAGTATAGCAAAAAATTTTGAACTAACATTTTCTTTGATGCTAAATAACTATAATTAAGTAAGGACAATCCCAATAAATCATACAAATAAGTTTCTTGCAAGCTTACCCGAAACAGAGCAAAATAAATTTTGATAAGTTTATTCGCTAAATCATTGTCTTGACTTGTAAATATTATTGCTGTTAAACAACATAAAGCATAATGTCTAAAAACATAGTAAAGTAGACAATAAACAGAGAATCATAGAATTTTGAGTTTGTTTTGTCATACTGTGCACTTGGCCGAATGTTTTGTCGAAAGAGAAGTCGTTCAATTTCATTAACAAGAACATTTTTCATACCCGGATGTTTTTCCACTATGAAAATATTATTAAAATAATTGTACAAGACAGAAAAAAAGCAGAATATTTTCATTTCCTTACAAAGTTGATTGAGTAAATGAAGTGTTTTGGAAGCAACAGTAGAATCTGGATCACCTAATTTATCAACAATTAATTCAAGTAAACGTTTTTCTTGTTCTGGTCTTTGAGATAATAAACGTTCGAGCATTGATATCGGTTTAATACGTATCTGAGCAATTGGATCATGAGCTATTTGCTAAAAGAAAAACAGAAATCCAATGAACACTATTTGAAACTCAATTATGTATCAAATACTTGAAGTAAATCAATAAAACTTGAATAAAGTTGTTTAACTGTTTCTTCAACAAACGCAAGCGCAGCTGCTTGTTTTGTAGTCAGTTGATTTGGTTGTTGATTAATGAAAAATAAACGACGATTTTCCGGTAAATAAGTGTTAACGAAAACATCTTCAAGAATTTCAGCTATTGTTAATGCATCACGACGATGTTGAATACTCGATCGTAAAAGATTAACTAGGTTTTCTAATTCTTGTAACCCATGAATTGGTGAACGACGTATCAATGTAACTAGAGCAGCGAGACGATCCTAAAATATATTTTTAATATAAACGGTAAATAATATTTCGATGAAATAACTGATTTTACTTTGGATGTTGTCGAAAGTGACGTTTGTAACCATTGATAATCAGAAGATTGATCTTTTTGATAGAGCTTCTGATAGAGATCATATTCTTCTCGATAGATTTTTTCACATTTTTCTTTATCATATTTTTCGTTGGTCGTTTTTGATGGCGAAGTAAGCGTTGAAGGATTTTCGAACGAATACCATTTTGGGATATCTTTACTTACTTTGAAAAGCAGTTCCGCTTTTGTGGGAACAGCGGTTTGCGGTCTCGGTTTTTTCATTCTTGCAACCATCTATCAATATTTAATAGAAATTTAGAATATTATCTTCATATTCACAATGAATGAAAGAATACACTGAACCGAAACCAATGAATACTGTAGTTGGTTGATGAGGATCGAAGAAAGATTGGATGTAGGGAATACTTTTGCGTTGTAAAATGCTATAGATGTCACTCATATACTCAATATTTTATTTAGTTTTTATAATATTTTAGTTCGGTAGTTCGTTTTACTTGTAATAATTCATCGGAATGCTTGAACAAATATTCATTCTTTTCTTTTTTACATAGGAGAGACGTCTTTTCGAACTGGAATTAATAAATAGTATGGTGGAAAAGGAAGCAATGTTCAAAAGAGTTGTTCAATTTAAAACTCTGCATGATGAATCGAATCAACTTCAGCATTCAGTCTGCTCAAGGATTTTCATTAATGGGATTGAGTGACCAAAATTCGAATAGATATTTTATAACAAACAACTAGTACGAATTGAATCTATGTATATCTATCTATCTCATGAGATGTTAATTTTTGTCATGCCATCTATGAATTCTGGACTAACAGTACATACTGAAGTTGAGTTGAAGTAAAAATGAAATTTGGAACAACAGAAAAGTTCAACTGCGTATTGCCTCTTGGGTATAATAAATATGTACGAAAAAATCCCTGTGATTAATTCAGATAGATGAAAACAGGAAATGAACTGATATTTTGTTGTGATTTTCTGTTTGCAAAAGAAATAAATCACTATGCAGTTTTCAGTACGTCTAATGTTAGACTTATACTTAAAAGAAAGAGAACATACTCATTGAATCAAAACTACAACAGTAAAGAGGGAAAATAGCATTTTTTAAAATGCACCAGTTGCTAGATAATTGCTACGGATAGAGAAAAACCTTCCGTCGGTTAAAATTGCAAGAAGAAAAGTAGATTTGAGAGTGCGTCGGGAAAAAGAAATTAGTACAGAGGCCATTAACTATTCTAAATTACAATTTATTTTTTATTTTTCAGGTTGCTTTGTTCAGCTGTATTCCGATGTTGCACACAATGTTCGAGAACGTTTAAATATGGCGGAGGAAAAAAATGACTCTTTTACCTGTTTTTAGATAGAAAACAAATCTACAAGCAACCTACTATTCGAACGTTATGTCCAATTCATTACACAAGACCATAATCGAGCAATTTGCTGAGGCCGTCAGTGGTCATCAAATAAATCAACTCGATAGTTTTCTCGAAGTAGATGTTCAGAAAACAACCAATTCGAAAATAATCTACAAAAATATTCAGGAAGCTCAAGATTATTACGGAAAGGAAAATTCAACTCAGTGGAAGATTCTGGAGTTTATACAAGACGATCCAAATGGCAATACGATGCAGACTCGAATCATTCATGGTGACAAAACATACAAAACATCGTACACATTTAGTTCGGCAGGAAAAATTCATCGCATCGATACTATTATCGAGCAATAATTGTATCCATAATTGACTAAAATTATAGTCTAATATTTTTATTTCAGTTATTGGTCATTCTATATTTTTCTGGATCCTTTCACATTCTGTTATGTCCTTTTTCCAATAAATAACTTAGATATATGTCTCGGCAAGATTATATACACTCAAACATGTTTTCAAATTCTTGTCGAATAGAACAATTGGATTCAATTGATTCTATTTCTGGGCTGAACATCAATTTTTGATTGAATCGACATCATTCTGTTTGATTGATTTTAACAAAACAATACCCGTAACTTGCATTTTTTAAATTAATATAAATTATGACAAATGAATATTACCATAAACGGTTTTATTTCTTCCTATTATTTGACTTTATATTAAAATAGTTCGATAAATATCAACTGAGTAAATATATTCTATATGTCTTCTTACATCGAAGTAAAGCATTTTCAGACGACCAGTGAGTCGGATGTATGGATGTGGGTCTCTTCCATTCATCTACACCCTCTATTTGAAACCTTTTTTGTTGAATTATAATAGGCATGACGTGCCGTAATTTTGAGCAGGAACCATTAATCCAAGAAGAGACTTCTTCAGTTCGGTACAAAAGAGAAACCAATTGGTTTTTAGAGAGCGTGTCGGCGATCAACTACATCAATGAGCATAATAAACTTCTATTAACTCCGAATTTTTCTAATAAACTCATTCCATAAGATGCTTTTGCCGTAATATTGACTTAATATCAAACTACTCGTCAGACACTAGAATTAGAAATTGATTACCCTGTCTAGTCTAATCCGATCCGGTCATTTTATCCTGTTTTTCCTTCTTTTTCCTAAATTTACGCCTATTTTAAGTTATAGAAATCGTTAAAAAGCTTTTTTGGGTAGGAAAACGATGTGAATTTCAACTATGATCAACATGAAAAGAAGGCTTCGAAAATAAATTATCGTTAAGAGTAGAGATTTCAAGTATTAACACTTCATATAACTCAGCAATATAATGATCATCATTGATTTCATATGCCTCAAACAGATTTTGATTGCTCACTCGACTTAACATCTAAGTCAACATATTTGCTGACAAATAATGTGAATCAGTCATTTGTTAATGATCACGTGACTTTTATGTCATTTTGGATCCATGTTTTAGTTCTCGTCAGTTATGTGACATATTATTTTATTAAACCAGAAAAGAAAAGAAAATTTATATTGTTTAGTGTTTTTAGAAGCACCACTCGTTGTGTCACGAGATGAGCCCATCTTTGTATTAAATTGCCGGCAATGACATTAATGTCAATTTGATTTAACTATGGCTTTCGGGCGAAATTCATGATTTTCTTTACCAGTTCTGGTATTGCGCTGAGATACACTATTGGAAAGAAAAGTCGGACAGGGTATGAGGTGTGAGTGTGAGGAAAGGCGGGCATGCGCGTCTACACGCACACACAAGCCAATTTATAAATTTTATAATTTATAAAAACTAAATCTTTTTCTGACGATGGCGTGAAAACATGAACGCGATTTTTTTTGCGTTTACATTCGAAGTCGAATTAGGCAGCTACTCGAATGAATTATAGCTGTTATAATCGACATATTTGAGAAATCGTCTTTTAAACATTGTACTCCATACCAAAAAAACAAAGACCACTGATTGTTTTTAGGTAAAATTGTTCACTAATATTTATTATTTCTTTCTAAATGATATACAGAGTGAAAAGTAAAAAGAAAAACATGACTATATTGCTTCTTATTTTCATTCTTGTATTCTATGATTTCAATCATATGCCATTAGATAATGTTTAAAACTCTGCTAAATTTTTTCGAATCGTATTCATTATTAATATGGCTATCGATTAGATTTAGCTTTTGAAAGTACATGCACTCATTGTAACCTGTTATTTTTAAAAGAAAGATTTAAAATATATCAAGTCCATTATCCCAGGTCGAACATTCCGGTCACCAGATCCCGTAGGATACTCCAGGAAATATGCGGGAAAGTTGCCACACCCTGCAGGAAAACACGGGAAATCGCTGGAACATGGAAGCAGTATTCCGGTCAAAAATACGGTCGAACTTTTCCGGCGGATTCCTGCCGAGTTCCGGTGCTTTCCGGCAGGAATTGATCAAAAATCACCGAAAAAAATCCGAAAATTTTCCAGCCGCAATATTGCTTCCACAAAATCGACGGAACTACCCGGAATCGACCGTTTCCAGGCGGCACTGTTCGACCTGAGTATGGAAGAGATCACTTTAAGAAATATTGCTGGATCAAGCCATTAGAACGTAAATAATCGCGTGAAGTTTATAATTCTGTCAGTGAAATGGTTTTTAGGTTTGGAGACTCAGTTTTCTCGTATCAGATAATGAACGTGATTTTATCAATGAATTAATATACGTATATCCTACAACCTGAATTTTCAGGTTCGCATAATTATGCCACAAATATTTTTTTATGTTAAAGATTATATAATATAATAGTTCGTTAAAAGAGTACTAACAAATGATAAGCACAATAAACGAGCTGAATGCGTATAGCAATACACTAGGCATATATCCTCTTACACTGAACGATAGATCAATCAATTCCCTACAAGATCGAAACTTCATCAAACCATTATTGAAGCTGTAATTTCAGTAGTACTTTATCTTATCTAATTCTTTTCCAAATATGGACTAATACGATACAACACGAGTTATTAGATGAATAAACCAAAGCTGTTATATTTGCATGATGGATTACAGACTTTAAAGTTGATTTACAATCACATACAACTTGAATAAAACAGTTATTTTGAGTACTTTCTTTTTAGTGACGTACGTATGTATGATGAAGTATGAGAGAAGAAAAGTACTAGTTAGTGAATTAAATATTTTATTCGCCTTCGCTCTTTGTAAAAGAAGGAAAACTCGTAAAATAATATTATTTCAATTTTATAGGTGAATTTAATGAACGTTCTACTATTGAAAGAAAATCTGTTAACTGAAGAGTAGTTGTCTCTTTTATCTCATTTTCTCTCGCTGTTGTCTAGTTCTTACTTAGATTTAAAAAAATACCTCTCTAGGGGTTCGAAAAGCTTTTTATCCTAGCTATTATAAAAATTTTCGCTATCCCAGCTGCAACAAAATTTCCAAGATTATTCATTAGAATGATGAAAGATTGTATTTATTATTCATTCATTGTTCAAAACAAGTCATCAATATCAATATTTTTCTTTAGGATTCTGACTGAGCAATTCGAGAGTTTTAAATGTGTTTTTCAGCAGTCAGTGATATTGTATGCAGAACAGAAATCTAATCACGATGCAGCTGATTTTTATTTTCGTGAAACCGAAGTAAATCCATCTTTCATATAGACCAACCTAACAACATATTACTAGAACTGTAGAAGACTGTCAAATTAAATATTTAACAGGAAACAATATTTATTGACGGACTCTACATGAATATCTCAATACTAAAGAGTTCATTTCAATTTTTTCAGATGTAGTTTAGCTATTATTTTGAATGAAACGCCTACTCTACTATACACTTAAACACAAGTTCTATAACAGTCGATATAAAATTAGAAAGAGAATTTAAGTTTTGTTTATCATTGTATACCATTTATCACTTTGTTGAGTTAGCTCATTTGCACCAATATCTAGCTGAGAAAATGATCACATTTACAAAAGCACCATTAATAGAGAATAGGAGCCAATGAGATGTTAATTGAGTTTCTTGACAGTGTATACACATGTTTTTTGTGTGCAATATTTTTAGTTTTAGGATAAGGTGAAGGACTTGAATAGTGTTTCATTGCACTGAGTCAATGGTGTCTTTTGATGAATCTTCAACATGATCTTTCAAACGAAGAATAAATTTGACATTTTGAAAAACTCGTCCAACGTCGTATAACATCCGTTGACCCATTCTCTTCGTTAATTGTTGTGTTATGCTTGAATTAATAATAAACTAGAAGGTATTCGAGTTTCAATCGTATACGAAATGCGACGCGAAGCTCGAATAGGATCTTTACGAAAAATCTTCAATTCAGAGAAATCTTGAATACTTTTTGTGTCGATATGATGAAATTCATCACTGAGAAAACTCTATTCTTACTTAGCGACATATTCTTAGGGGTCAATTTCGATTGATCGATTAATTATCATCATGATTCATTATCTTAGATCAGCTGTAAATGAATAGGTTACAGTGGCTGAAATATGTGCATGACGTCATTTTAATTATCTCTTGATAAATTTCTTTCATTTTCGTCATTTTGGAACGATATTTGTGAGTGAATGGAATATCAGATTAAAGAATAGAAAAAATATGTTAGAAGTTCGATCTCGATACTTTTATCTCCCATTTCAATGAGTTTTCTATGATTTTTGGTTCACGAGATCATTCGGTCACAAAATGACAATTCGCGATGCGAACACCGAGAAAGTAAAAGAAAAAAAAACTCGCGACGGACTACATAAATACTATGCTTCGCATCGCATTAAAAACTCGCGACGAACAACAGAAATGCTTCTGCTTCGCATCGCATTAAAAAAAAACTCGCGACGGACTACAGAAATGCTATGCTTCGCATCGCATTAAAAAGAAAAACTCTCGACGAACTACAGAAATGCTATGCTTCGCATCGCATTAAAAATGTTCTTAATTTCCCCTTCCTTTAAAACTGTCATGATTTTCAAGTAGTGCTACTCCACAGTATTAATTGGTGATTGACGAGCACTAACGATAGTTCATGATCAATGATGTGTGCCTTTACTTCTTGCATATTATTTAATTAATTTCTATTTCCTGTTTCTATATAGATTTACAATATATTCGATCATTCTTACATTATTCTACTATAACTAATTTGTGTTTGCTGACTCTATCCGCCGTCCACTCCACCACCTTCTCTTATGAAATTGTTTACTTTCATATTTTAGACTTGTGGCACTTTGTCTTGACAATCAATGTATATCTGAGGAAGCTCTCATCAGTCTAGCTAGTGCTCCGTCAATATTTACTAATGCAACAATGCCAAACATACGAACTCGCTTATACGAACAGTAACTAATTTCTACATAATGGTTGCCCTTGTCAGCGTTGCTAGTGCTCCGTTTTCAATGTTAATCTCTATCGCCTTTTCCACCCCTATTTATCATGTCTAGTTTTCTATGCATTGTTGCCTTTCACTATGTTGCTGCCAAATATATAGTTAAGCTCAAGTTGAGCATGAAATAGATACTATTCAATAAAATATTTTTCTGAACATTTTAGCTTATTTGCACATGAAAGAAAACTTCAAGGATGTATGTTCTAAATTAAAAGTTAATCAACTTTCCGTTTCCGAGTTTATAATTCTTCTAAGATAAAATCCCAAACTGTCAGTCTTAAAAGAAGATTAATTCGACGCAACAATTATAAATAACATAAATAAATTGCCTGCTGACAGTTGTAAGTAATCTTTTCTTTTGTTTTGTTTGATAGAAAGTATCTTTACAAACATGTGTCCGTGTATCTGATCTCATTCGCACTTGATGATCGAACTTGCCGATCAGCAACAAAACTAGACTTGTGTTTTCTATCATCAAATAACTAAAAATAACACATACGGATTGGTATTATATATAGCGTAATTTTAAAACCGTCCACAAAAATCTGCGAATATCAAGTCAGTAAGTATAAACTAACTATCACCTGCCCTTGTATTGTAGGAGACGAAATTATTCATATATTCTACTATTTTTCATGAAGTTTCTTTTCAATATTTTTTCCGGTGCTCTTTTGATCCGATTGATTACGGACATTATTCGATCTATTGCTATCTTACGGCCAATCGACTATCAAAAAAGAATAATTTTTTCCGCTACATCATATGAATGAATGAATCAATGAATGAATGAATGAATGAATGAATGACAGCATAACGACGCACAAAAGTGGCAATAACAGAAAAGAAAATTTATATACACAGTATTGATTGAGGTCCTCAGAGTTATGCCAAAATGTGACCATGAGTGACAGCTTGTCTGAATGATAGTTAACGAAGTGTCAAAACTCACAATTTTGTGTAAAGTAGAACAAAAATTTTCATATACATATAATTTATTTTTCTAAATCATTATTTTATGGTGAATTTATGTCAAACGAAATCAAAAGGAAGACACGCTGTTATTATGTCTTTATACTCCTATTAAAGTAAATACATGATGTGCTGTTTATATAATTACCTAAATGTCGGCTATTCTTTTTCCTTGCCGTAAGTTTTACGTAGTATCCTTTTCTTTCTTTGGTGATTTCATTTCCATTGAGATGTGCGCTTCTTTTACGACGAAAACAAAACTATATTATACAATAAAAGAAAAGAAAATTCATTATGCATAAATCTGACAGACCGGGTTTTTTAAAAGAATGAAATGATATTTCCAATTTTTATTAATCAAGTCAACTATTACTGAAGTTTAACAGATACTTCGACGACTAAGAGACATCGTGACATCAAAAATTTCTGATGCATTGATTAACACTCGGTCTTTTGTGCGTTATGTTAGGCAGTCTGTATTCTATGTTGTATGTCGTTCATGTAGAGAAGAACCTTTTTAGCGTATATCGAAAACAATCCTATGACAGATTGGTTTATTATAACAGATGCGTAGATTTATAACAAATAAGCCTTTTTTTTCAATAGAGAGATTTAAATTTAGATTATTATTATTGTTATTATTATTATGTTTTCGATGAAAAGAAAAAGAACTCTCCTTCTCATTCCGCTGTTTTAGATGAAACATATAAGTAAAATTTGCGTCTGACAGCATATTATAAACGTCACATCAATCAATATTAGTAGATAACGTCATGATTGCCAACGATAGTAACGTAACAATGCCACGTATTGAATGGCTTCCCGGTTTACAATTAGCAGCTTGTATTTTTTATAGTATTATACTTTTGGTGGGTGTTACCGGTAATATTCTCGTTATTGTTATTGTGATGAAATATCGACATATGCGCAATGCAACTAATTTTATGTTGACAAATTTATCTGTTGCCGATCTATTTCTTCTATTATTTTGCACAGCTGACGGTTATCAACATTTGTATGGAAAAGATAAGCACCGTTTAGGCAAATTCATGTGTATGTAAACACAAAACAAAATACAATGATTAGTTCTATTGGGAAAAAAATTCATTTTTTTGTGTTGTATTTATTTTTAGGTCGATTCAGTCCATTTGTTCAAAATGTTACAGCCACATGTTCTGTTTTAACTATTATGGCAATCAGTTATGAGAGATTCGTTGCAATTTGTAAACCATTAAAAGTGAGTAGACGATGAAAACATGTATATCATGAAGCAAAATATTATCTTATATAGACATCTCCACACCCAACCTTATTTCAAACCATACCAACAGTTGCTCTCTTTTGGCTTATCTCTTGTATAATTTCAAGCCCTTTTTTTATATTCACAAAGACATATATAATGGAATCAACTTACAATGAAATTATTGTTGCCTGTAATGCAAAATTTCTTGTTGTCCACATTTTTTGTTTATTCCTTTTCGTAGGTTTCACACAATTTCCGTTTTCATGGGCAACTTGGTATCTTATACCATGCACCTTAATTATTTACTTGATCATTTTAATTCTACTTTGTTACTGGAATTATTCTATTTGTCGTATACTTTTTAATCGTGAAGCTCTTTTACGTGACAATACAATTGTAACACGTTATCGCCGACAAGTAGCTCGATTACTCATTGCTTTAATTGTTTCATTTTTCGTACTAATTTTACCGCATAAAATTTGGGCTATCATTCAGCCACAATTGAGTCTGGATCAATTTCATCGGCTTGGATTTCATCGCCATTCATTTCTTATCATCGCTACGCGTTCTTTACTTTATTTGAATTCCACTGTAAGTTTCAATGAAATCATAAACATTGTTTTACAATTCTTAGCGTAGAATTCTGGGAAAAATTGATACAAAAACAGAAGCATATTTTTTACTTTTTGTAAGACTACCTTTCGAGAAACTTCAAGTAAATATTGATTTATTCTTACCTAGTAATCCACTTAAGTGTAAACCTCTGCTGTCGATATTTCAAAATTCTTTTTTTAAAAGAGTTATGTTCCCATCTGTCTTTCTAAACAGACATAAATATTTTAATAGAATGACGTGCATCATACAGAACAGTGTTTGACACAAAAATATTCATTGCCACTAGGGTTTTTCTCAATATTTTTTTAATCGTATTCATTCTTTTACTAGTATGATATTGTTGCTATTGTAGAATGAGAAACTTGTCTTCTGATGTAGATGAAATCAAATCAAAGATAGTGTCAATAATATACACATTCTAAATCGTCTATTTTACAAATGATTATTTGCTTTTATTTACACACGCACTGATATTATATATATATGATCATATCAAAGAAAAACAAAGAGGGAAAGAACTCCAAGCAGGTCACGAAGAACAAGTGACTATCACTATGTACTGTGAATAAGAAGGAAATACTTGTTACAAATGGAATGAAAAAATAACAATAAGGATAAAAACATGTCTAATGGCGCATCGTATAGCAGGAAAGATCAGTAAAAAAGTTGACAGCGAGTTTGCAAGCATCAGGTTAGCGCTTCCAATTCATGACAATATAATAATCATGGCTTCAAACACGTATAATCCATGATTACGACAATGCAAGTGTACTGTAGATAAAAGATAAAGTCGTAAAACTGACTCGAAACATTTTTTTTTTAATCAATAGATCAATCCATTACTTTATTCCATCATGTCAACAAAATTTCGTCTAAGCTTCACTAGTCTTTATCAGGGATGTTATGCGCCATCAACAAATCAGCGCACATCAACTGTACTATCTTGTAAAGAATATTCAAAGCGACCAATGTTAACCAGTACGAATAGAGATTATCTTGGCGGTAGAGTATCAACAACAAGTGGATTGGCATATTATCCAACAAAAATTGCACAAATTCAAGAGAAAAAAATGCTTCTGAACGATAATACTCCAACACCAATGACAGCAACAACAATCGATGAAACAAAATTTACTTTTCCAGATGAAAACAAAAATTAATAAAATAATGAATATACGTGTGTTTTCATCATTTTTCTTGAAGTATTTTTGTAAAATATATGTTGTATGAGCCAGTCCACATAAGCCACACCCGGTTTTACTCAATCAGAGATCCCAAGCGTTTGACTGCACCCTTGGGTGATCCTCCGCTTCGTAGTGTTTGAAAAGTTATTTTGAGCACCATCCCACTCATATCTTGAGAGAAAACCAATTTGGAAGGTGATTTTTCTATTGTTTTCATATAAAAGTCGTTAAAAAACGGTAAAAATTCGTTCGAAAGATCCTAATATCTCGACAGGGAGTTCTCCAATAAGGCTAAAAATTTGGTTCGAGGCTTAAACCAACATACTCTACAAGATGGGATAGATTTTACGCAAATCTAGGAACTTCATTGAGCGCCCCTCTATGGTGATCGGTCGTGGTTTATGTGGACTGGCTCATTTATGAATCTATTTTAGCATGTAAATTGAAATAAATATCATAAAAATGAGGTGTCATAAGGCGAACTAAAAGAATAATCTATTAAACAATGAATGTATATAACAGTTGTTATTAATGTTGGAAATATCTGACATCAATGATTCAAAAAAAATCAGCATTTGATAGTTCCACAAAGAAATCAATTTAAGAAAACATTGATGTTTTTGTGTAAAACAAAATTTCATCTATAACGTGACTTTTCAGTTCGACACTCGTGTTAATCTCTTGATTACCTCACTGACAACATTTCTTGAATGAGATCATATCATTTTAAAATGTCGGATTTTGATAATTAATGCAAAGAATGCAATTTATTTTTAGGTATCAATCAATAGACTGGTAATATTGTTAATCTTTCAGAATCTTAATAGAATGAATCCAGAAAGTTATGAGTTAAGTTAGTTCTGCCTTTATGAAACACTTACCAGCGTATATTGTCATGTATTTTCGAAACAAATACTAGTGCGTTGGAAAACATGGCAGTATCAGTACGACTATTATTTCTCTCTTTATACGAACATCTCAACCAATAGTTATGTTGACTAATTTAAAATAAATTGGTAGTATATTTTTCTACTCCAAACAAGTCTCTTTTAAGCGATCTACCAATTAATAGGATGACTCATCGCTTACTTTGAATAAAATAAATAATTCTAGTCAACCGATTCCAGTCGACTGTCAATAGTTAGAAAGTCCACAATGTATTCTTGGATATTTCTCGTTAATTTTCCACATGGATAGCAAAAAAAGCGCTTTAACCTCAGATGGTTTTATATTATACTATTTAATAATCTATAAATAGTTCGCAGTGCCCAGATGAACTACAGAAGCTTTCTTCGTGTTGCATTATCCATCCGACCCAAGAAGAAACGCTTTTTCGTTTTATGAACAACAAATCTGTGCTAAATCATGTTATAGTATCTATCAGATTATCATAACAAGTCGATGCTGCTCGGCATATTTTTGCAAACATTCGGTCGGAAAAATTTGTTCTATAGAATGCACCGAAACTGTGATATTCAGCGGCATCTACTGATTAATTAAGCTCTAGTTGAGCATACTTATTTTATAATATTTGTTAATATATTTGTTTACAATCAGAAAAGAAGTATAAATATTACAATTATTACTATTCTAGCATGTTTTCAAATATTGACTTATGCATTGTTGTCATAGCATTGAGTAGAATAATGACTGAAGGCAATAGAAAATTGAGTTATCTCAAGAAGTTATTTATTACCTTTCTCGATTCAAGAATAAAAATCAATAAAAAATAATCTTTATTCAATTAAAAAAAGAAGTTATCTTACAAAACGCAAGTCGACATTTGTATCATCTTGCAAAGTCTTAGTGACTTGTTTTTACCGATCATACATGATATAATTGCCGATATATTATCCAGTGCTGTAATTAGCACGCTTATGGCAACATTAAAAATTCCAGAAACCCGGCAACAACTTCAAACTCGATTTCATACGAATACAATTAGTCGAGAAAGTATCAATGACATACAGGTGACTACATTACTTTTTCAAATAGAAATGATTGAAATAACAAAAAGAAATGTTGACAGAGGAAGCAATAGAAATGTAATCTTTCTTTTTGTTCTTGTGTATGTATGAAAAGAAAAAAAGGCATAGGAGAGAGAAACTTAAGCGCTTTGTTCTTATTTTCATAAGAAAAGCAATCCCACAAATTGTTCTTTTACATCTTGCCTCGTATATATAATTAATAGAAGCTAATCACGGAAAAGCTGGTTTATTCTCGTATGGTTAATAATAATATTGAAATACTTTTTTTTGGTCGAAGAATACGATAGAAAATAAAAACTTCTTATTTCCTGCTAACATACATTGCAGAAAATTACTAAACGTCATGTAGAAAAAAAATCAATGAGCATACGATTACGGCAAACAATCATGAGCAGACGCTTTTAATCATGCTCGATAAAATAAAACATTCTTCAATATGTCAAATAATGCTTTACTTTCTCGAGTTATTATCAATTAATCTAGTGCAATGCATTGCCTTTTATTTTAAACGTTTTTCTCTCGTTCGATGATAGATCAGTAAAAACAATTATTATAAATATAGATTTCTCTTTTTATTTATTTGCATTAGATTTTAACTTGAAACTAAAATGGTTCTCGCATTGCAAATATCTGTGTGTAAACGCACAATTCTTTGTTCTTTTATTTGACTTTGACGAGTAAGAAATCTTTAGTTCCTCGACGCACATACACCGTCTTACTTAGCAACGTATTTATATATGTATATACATAAGCGCAAACACTTACTCAGAAGATTCTTCATGTTGAATTATATGAAGCGATAAGAGACGTTAATATATAACAGTATACAAAGATAGTAACTATAACAACTATTTCTCCTTTTCTATACGAGAAGAAATAGCATACGATACAATTAATAAGATGTTTTCACGACCGAGAGCGAATGTCTCGGTTGTTGAATATGCGGTGAGCCATTTAATATAGATTTTTCAAATAAGATAATTTGTTTCTATTATGTTCTTAGCAACGCCTTCGTGATGAACGTGAACAGAAACGATCAGGCCTCGATGACCGACATCGATATTTTTTTGATATTATCGCAACTCGAATTGGAAAACTGCGCTCCGAAGTTGAAGATAATATTCTTGAAAGTCCCAACGTAAGTTTATCATCTTGAAACAATATCATTCAAAAATAATTGTATTATCATATTAGTTTAATTTTATGAATCAATTTTTCATTGCTGATGGCAATCAATATCTGGTTTTTTTCTATCAAGAACCTGAAATAGAAAACACTCAAAGTGAACGTATGAAAAAATAACTTGTACTTTGTTGTTATGCTTGAATTTTCAAATAAATTTGTTTTCTAGTTGACATATACCGACCTCGTCATTCATCATATTCTAGTCGGTCAGGTGAAAGTAGTACAAAAAAGATAACAACTAAAGTGATTATAGCTAATCCAAATGAGCAATCACTTCACGGAATATGTCTATCTTTCATACGGAATTCAAAAGCACTGATGATCACAGAACAAAATATCGCTGCTGTACGTTATTCAACGTTCAACTAACTGTCGTTGACATGCTATAATACCTCGTTAAATTGTTTTTTTTATTGTAGGAAGTATGTTTTTATGCATTCGAATGCAATGCTGGATCGTTATTGGAAGCATTAAGTCGATCAATATCGGATGTTTATGTACCGTATCTTCAAACAACTGCAATGAATTGGAGTCCGAATAAGGATCCAATGGTTAAAATTAAATTTCTTGGCCAATTGAATAATTTTATTGATACACTAAATAGTGCAGATGAAAGTGTCAAAGAAAAAATTCTATTAGCACCGTGTCGAGATATTGATTTGAAACAGATAAAAACTGCGGCTGATTATGTTTCGGTAGCATCAAGTAGTGAATATTTATCATATATTGAAGAAACCATGAAAAAATGGATATCTCAATTGGAAGCAGTAAAAAATTGAAAACGAATCGTATTTTATTAGAAAAATTAATTTTCTCTTTTCTTTTTATTTCCCAAAAAAATTAAAAGGTTTTAGCAGAAAGCGAACAAATTCGTCGTGAAGCCGATGATATTGGTCCACGAGCTGAATTGAACTATTGGAAACGACGCATGACAAAATTTAATTTTCTACTTGATCAAATAAAAGCACATGAAGTAAAAGCTGTATTAACGATTTTACAAACTGCAAAATCGAAACTTATTCAAGTAAAATTCAAAATGAATTTATTCTCGATACATTCTTCTTCTTCTTTTTTCGATAGACATGGAGAACACTCGATGGAAAAATTACGGATGCAGCTAATGAAGCTAAGGATAATGTTCGATATTTATATACATTGGAAAAATTTTATGAACCATTATATAACTCTGATCCAGTTGCAATGCTTGAATATATACCCGGATTGATTAATGCTGTACGAATGATACATTCGATTTCACAATATTATAATACATCTGAACGAATGACATCGTTATTTATAAAAGTGAGTTTGAGTTTTTTTTCTTCTTAAAATCATGGATTTGCTAGAAGAGAATAAGACCATTATTGTCATTAATATTAAATAAATTATGCACGAAGTAAACTTTGCTTAGTAGAGTTTCGATTTTTTTAAATAGAATATTGAAGAGAGAAAAAGTCTGAAGAGGAAGAAGTTGTTAGCGCTATCCCTGCGGGCATTCAAATGTAAGACATAGTGTAACTGCCGTTGTTAATCATGAGGAGATTTTATTTATAGATACGAATTGGAATTGAATGTTGAGACAAAAGTGTATCGAGAATCCAAAGTTTTACTCCTAAACTTCAATACTTTTTCAAGTAGTCGTTCCGCAGAATTTGTCGGATGCATTAAAAAGAAACGTTTTTTTTATTAATATTTTTGTTGCTATTCTTTTTCAATCAATCATACATTCTATAAATGATTCGTAATGACCGGAACTTATGATGACGACAACATGTTTTAAAGTTCTATAGTGCTATATAATTATGTGTCTACATGTAGTTTTATTGAAAGCAATAATGAAAAGAAATGAAAGGAAATAATTGTAAGATACTAAATTCTATAACGAGCATATTCAAGACTCAATTGAAAAACGATGTACCCATTGAGAGAACTCTACAATCCTTGTTTTAATATTACGCTCAAAAAACGTTTCAGTAATTTATTCATGCGACAAAAATTCTGATCATCAGGATCGAAATAATAATGACTAGAAGTGTTTGTTAAGTTCTATGATTTGTTTTTTGATTCAGCTCAGATATCAATCGATGACAGGCTTGCAGAAAAAGTCATGTAAACTCCTAATGTGAAAGCCAACGAAGCTACGATGATTAAAGTAAAATACTTCTAAAATGTGTATGTCATTGATTCTTCAATCGCAATGTGAGAAAAATATTTATTAAAATATGACATTTAACTTACACAGAATGAATGCAACTTTTCACAATATATTTAACAAACGCTTAAATATCTAAACAATAATTAGGTGTGAATGAGATTAACTGTTTCTTTTAAATTCCTGGTTTTCATTAGCATGACAAATCAAAAAAATAGTAAATTGTCGATACCATACTAATGAATTGTAACCTCGTTAATCTATCATTTTTGTTTTAATACTAACATAAATATGCTTGGTGTGCTATCAATATTATTCCGAGTTTAACTACCAATAAGTCATTATTAACGGCGAAAAAAAGAACCGATTTTCAATTTTTTAATAGATAACAAATCAAATGATTACCTCGTCGAAAATCTACATCACGAGTAATTATAGCCAAACAGTTTGGTCACAAAGCCAAGAACAAGTTATATCCAAAATGCGTGATTGTATTAAATTAAATAAAGAATATCAATTTTCTTTTCAATTAACAAAAACTAAATTAGCGTCGAGTTCTACTGAACGTCCATTTGATTTTAGTGAAATGTATATATTTGGCAAATTCGATTCATTTGTGCGACGATGCGAAAAAATTATTGATATCTATTCAATAATTAATATGTACTCGTGTTTAGCTGAATCTAAAATCGAAGGTATATCATCATTTCATTTGAAATTTAATGGTATGGTTATAACGCTGAAGAAACAAGATTACGATTTTTTGGATCAACGTAAACAAGAAGTTGATCATGATTTAGATGATTTCCGTCAGTCTGTAGGAGATCTTCATCAAAATCTAAATGTATTTCTTGATAAATATTTTGATGCTATAAAAAATACTGAACGTGCATTAACGACATTAAAACGTTTTGAAAAATTAAAAATACCAAATATTGGTTTAAACGAAAAATATGTAAAGATTCTACAGCAATATTCAAAAGATGTTGATTTAGTAGCAAAAATTTATCAAAAATATTCTGCCGAACCACCTATTCAAAGAGATTTACCACCAGTTGCTGGTAGGAAAAGCTCGATGCATTGTTGGTTTCTTATTTATTTTCTTTTTTTTTGTAAGGTCGAATTATTTGGGCTCGACAACTATATAAACGTCTTCAACAACCCATGGATATATTTGTTGCTAATAAAACAATTCTTCAATATCCTGATGCAAAAAAAATCATTAAAAATTATAATCAATTATCGAAAGTGCTTCTTTCCTATGAAATTCTCTATCATCGCGGATGGCTTCGTCAAGTTGATGTTGTATCAACTGGTATTCATTCGAGTATATTGATTCGTGTTAAGCGTGATGAAGCCGGACCAGCTGCATCCATTAATGGACAATCACCATCATCATCATCAATCGTAATGTCAACATCGGACACGAATCCTGAATATTTTGTTAATTTTGATCCAAATATTCTTGAATTAATACGTGAAACTCAATGTTTAGCACGTTTAAATTTAGAAATACCTGAAGAAGCTGCTTCATTAGTACAACGTGAAAATTTTCTTAAAAAACATTTTCAAGATTTAACACAATTAGTTGAAAAAAATAAACAACTACGTGAAAAAATAAAACAACCATTTGAAGCACTTTTGACACCGAAAATTCATCGTTTAAATGATATCATTCATCCTGGCTTAACTTCAATAACATGGGTCTCGTTAACAATTGATGATTTTGTCAATACAGTTCGTTGAATTCTTTTTTTAACGACTATCATATTGTTTCTGATTCTTCAATAGGTTAATTCAGCATTAGATGAATTTAATTTAAGTTTAGAACGAATAAATAATCTTCTAGCATATCGTGTTGACGCCGTACTCGATGAAATAGCTACGACAACTCTTTGCGATCTACCAGAAGATGAACCAATAGCACCAGCAGAATTCCTACAACAGACTCAAGTAATTCAAAAATTATAATAGAAAACGATATTTTTCATTTACCTCTGTAAATAGGAATTATGCGATCTTGCAGCAAAACATATTCAAATGAAATCTCATCATGTCGAAGATGCTGTTCTCGAAGTTGTTGATCTTTTGTGTGGAGATTTCATAGATGCAAATGCTGAGAGCGAACTACAAATACAATATTCAAATACGGATATAGATTTCGATGACGATGAATACGATGGTTCGATTCTTTTTTTTTATATCAATTAAGCAGTTCGAAAACATTTATTTTATTCTAGAAGAAAAATCAGTCAATAATGATTCAAGCTCACAAAAATCGCATCGACCAACAACTACAACAAATCGATTAAGACAAGATTCATCTGGAATATCAGCATCAGCACGAAAAAAATCTTCAACTCTTTTAACAACATCAATACGTCACAAACGACAACAGAAGAAAGAATTCTTACGCAATGCTATCACAGAATTACTTCATTATTTTAATCATAAAAATCTCGATGCTATTATTAAAGTTATTCGAATAACTTTAGAAAGAATACGAAAACGAATTCCAACAACTCTTAATTATGGTAAGCAAAAAAGAAAGAACTTTTTCTTTTTTTATTCTAGCAAATTTATATTTGATTTAGATCAAAATCAACGAGATGTACCAATCTTTAAAATTTTTGCTGAATTATTAATACCAACTGTAACTGTGCAACCACCAATTGACGAAGTACAAATTTATCTAAATAAAGCTGTGAAAGCCATTATTTCTATTTCAAAATATATTTCACAATGGAGCAAAGATCGATCAAGAGTAAGTAACATTTGTTTGAAAAATAAAGACTAAAATTTGCGAAGGAAAAAACACTATCGGAATTTAGTTCAAAGAAAAAGTTTTTGAATATTGTTCATTCTCTGTTTCTAGACAGTTCCATTATCTTTGAATTTAATTCAAGTATTAACTGAAATTAGATTTCAGAAGTCGACTTGTGATGATTTCTATTCGTTAAAAAGATCTAGTAGTCAAATAGATTTCTCTGATGTGTGTTTTCTTCCGTTGGAAATAACGATTTTATTTTCATATTTAAAACTGCATGAATCTTTACAACTTACTACTGAAAATATAACCACAGATAAATTCATTGTTTCTTTTATTTTATTATTTTCAGGGAAAACGTAAGGGTCAATTGGAACCAAAAAGTAATCTGAATTCTCAAGAACAGGAACGTCTTCGTGCAATAAATTCTATGACAGAACGTAACGATGAAGACAATGCAGTTTACGGTGGTTATAATTCTGAATCATTTCGAATCGATTTAAATCCTCAAGGAATAATGACTTCAACAAATGTCAACAGTGGAACACGATTCAATGCTCGCGTTGATCAACAGCAAATATCTAAAGTGCAATTTACTGTGGATAACAACTTTTTCAAAAGTGTATCTGAAAACAAAGATATTGCTAAATTAGTATCTCAATTAGCAACTTGCATTACTACAACTAAAAGTGTAGGCAATGAAACAAATTTTCCTTTTTTTATTATGAATTAATTTTTTCTCTTTTTCGATCGATAGGATATTATATCAGGACTTAAAATCTTTACACAATATAATTTATTATGGCAAATAGATCGCGATGAACAAGTGAAACTCTTTGAGTCTAAAAAGCCACACGTATCAGAATATGAAATTAAAATAAAATACTATGAAAATCTTGCGTCAAGTATTAATTCACAATTGGAATTCATATCTATTGGGCCATTTGCTATATTTACCAGTATATATTATATTCTTTTTTTCTTCATGAAAACAATAGATAAAGTTAAAACTGTGTTTTTCTTTTAAATCTAGAACATTTGAAATTTGCTCTTAATCAAGAAGTTCGTGATTGGATTGTTGTTTATGGTCAATCTTGTAATGTCAAATATCAAAAAGAATTGAACGATGTTTTAAAATTTATTGAAAATATTGAAAATCGTTTATCACGAGGGATAAAAGACTTAGAAGATATTCGTTTAATAATGATGGCTGTAAAAGATTTAAGAGAAAATGAAATACATATTGACATGAGTATAACACCTATTGAAGAATCGTATGCTATACTACAACTACATAATATTAGTATACCTCGAGAAGATATTGAACGAGCTGATTCTCTTCGATATCGATGGGAAAAATTGCAAATGCGTTGCGTAAGATTAAATTTTATCTGACGTATTCTCTCGATAGATGTATTTATTTTTATAGACTGAAGTGACATCAAAATTACTTGAAATTCAACCACAATATCGATCTGAGCTATTAAGCAATGTGAAAATATTTAAACGAGAATGTGCACAATTTTATATTGATTATGAACAACGTGGACCAACAGCACCTGGCCTAACACCACGAGAATCCAGTGATAGACAAATGTTATTTCAAAGTCGCGTAGAAAATCTATATAAAAGATATGAAACATATCATGGCGGCGAGGAATTATTTGGTTTACCTATAACTGAGTATCCACAGTTAGAAAAACTTCGAAAATATTTATTATTATTACAACATCTTTACAGTTTATATAATAAAGTACTGGATACTGTTGCAAGTTATTTTGATATAGCTTGGACTGATGTTAATATTGATAAAATCAAACAAGAATTATCCGATTTTCAAACATCTTGTAGAAGATTACCAAAAGGTCTAAGAGAATTTCCAGCATTTCACGCATTGAAGAAAACTATTGATGATTTCAATGAATGTAAGTTTGAATTGAAAACAAAAACCGATCTATTGTGAGTATTGTATGTATGTTATCTATAGGTTGTCCTTTATTGGAGATGATGTCAAATCCTGCTGTAAAACCTCGTCATTGGCAACGCATAGCTGAAGTAACTGATACGAAGAATTTAGATGTTGAAATGGAAGATTTTCGTTTGAGAAATGTTATGGATTTACCGTTATTACAATATAAAGAAGACATAGAAGATATTTGTATTGCTGCTGTTAAAGAATGCGATATTGAAGCTAAACTTAAACAAGTTGAATCTGATTGGAAAAATCAAGAATTTAAGTTTGCACAATTTAAACTTCGAGGTGAACTATTACTTAAAGGTGATCGAATTCAAGAAGTGATTAGTCTATTAGAAGATTCTCTTATGTTACTTGGCTCATTGATGTCAAATAGGTTTGTAATTTCGTTTAGGAAATTAAAAGGAAATAAATCTTTAACTGTCATAGATATAATGTTCCATTTCGGAAACAAATTCAAAAATGGGTTAAAAATTTAACCGATACCAATGAAATCATTGAAAATTGGATGTACGTACAAAATCTATGGGTATATCTCGAGGCTGTTTTTGTCGGTGGTGATATTGCTAAACAATTGCCACAGGAAGCAAAACGATTTTCGTCGATTGATAAATCTTGGCTTAAAATAATGTATAAAGCACATGAACAACCAACAGTCGTACAATGTTGTACTGCCGATGATACATTAAAACAACTCTTACCACATCTTCTTGAACAACTTGAATTGTGCCAAAAATCATTAACTGGCTATTTAGAACGCAAGCGTCTTTTATTTCCGCGTTTCTTTTTTGTTTCTGATCCAGCACTACTAGAAATCTTAGGTCAAGCGAGTGATCCACATACAATTAAAGCACATCTATTAAGTGTTTTTGATAATATTAAAACAGTGAAATTTCATGAGAGAGATTATGATAAAATTTTAAATATCGAATCATCTGAAGGTGAAATTGTTGATGTAAGATTAAAATGAATTTTATCTGTGATTGTTATTTTTTAAATTATTTTATTCATTTAGCTTGAAAAACCTGTGAAAGCAGAAGGTAATGTCGAAGTATGGTTGATGTCTCTTCTGAAAGAATCTCATCGATCTTTGCATGGTGTTATTCGTCAAGCGTATAGTGCTCTATCTGATAAACAATCATTTCATCTCATTGAATTTCTTAACAGTTACCCATCACAAGTTGGACTTTTAGGTTTGCAAATCATCTGGACACGTGATACGACAGATGCACTACGTCATGCTAAACTTAATAGAAATTTGATGAGACAAACAGCAAAAGTGTTTAGTGAATTGCTTGATATATTAATCAATCAGACAACGAAAAGTCTATCAACCGTTGAACGCACCAAGTATGAAACATTAATAACAATTCAAGTACATCAAAAAGATATATTCGATGAACTTTTACAAACAAATATTCGTTCAGTCGCTGATTTTGATTGGCTTAAACAGACAAGATTCTATTTTAATGAAGATTTAGATAAAGTACAAATAGCCATTACCGATGTTGATTTCACTTACATGAATGAGTTTCTTGGTTGTACTGAACGTTTAGTTATTACACCATTGACTGATCGATGTTATATTACATTAGCACAAGCATTACACATGAGTATGGGTGGAGCACCTGCTGGACCAGCTGGAACAGGTAAAATGATTTCGTTACAATCTTGAAACAAGCAGTGTTTTAGGTGAAATTGTTTTGAGATTGTGGATTTCTGTCAAAAATCATAATAAATTCTAGAATTGGGAGAAGTTCTTACATCGTTTCCGCGCGAGATGCTGTATCTCCTCCGAAGGTATTGAGTATTTCTCCAATTTTCGACATATTTGCCATCGTTCGGAAAGTCAGATTAAAAATCATGTTACTGTATGCATTTTAATTCTAATGAATTTTAAAGCAAAATTCGCTAACAGCACTTTTGACTACAGAGTAAATTATTTTAATGTTTTAGGAAAAACTGAAACTGTGAAAGATATGGGACGAAGTCTTGGAAAATATGTTGTTGTAAGTAACTGATGAGCCTATTTTTTTTCTTTTGAATAAACCATTGAATTTTATATTAATAATAGGTATTTAATTGTTCTGATCAAATGGATTTTCGTGGTTTAGGTCGTATATTTAAAGGTCTAGCTCAATCTGGTTCTTACGGTTGTTTCGATGAATTTAATCGTATTGATTTGCCTGTACTCTCGGTTGCTGCACAACAAATAGCTATTGTTCTTGCCTGTAAAAAAGAGCGAAAACGTCATTTCGTTTTTACTGATGGTGATATGATTGAAATGAATATGGAGTTCGGAATATTTCTAACAATGAATCCAGGCTATGCTGGTCGACAGGAATTTCCAGAAAATTTAAAAATTAATTTTCGTTCTGTCGCTATGATGGTGCCGGATCGTCTACCAATTATTCGTGTTAAAATGGCTGCAAGTGGTTTCAGAGATAATGTTTCTTTATCAAAGAAATTTTACACACTTTATATATTATGTGAAGAACAACTTAGTAAACAAGTAAGAATTTCATTTCTTTTCTTTTTCAACAAAAAAAGCATTTCGAATGAAATAAATTCTAGGTTCATTATGACTTTGGTCTACGAAATATTCTATCCGTACTACGAACATTGGGTGCAGTTAAACGTGCCAATAAAGAAGATGCCGAAAAGACTATTGTGATGCGAGTACTTCGCGATATGAATTTATCAAAATTAGTATGTCGATTTACTTTTTAATTGTTTTGATCATGTTCTAACAATAATTTTGTTTTATTTTAATATAGGTTGATGAAGATGAACCTTTATTCCTATCATTAATCAATGATCTTTTTCCAAATATAAAATTAGAAAAAGAAACGTATGCTGAATTAGAAATGGCTATCGAAAGAGAAGTGCAATCGGCTGGACTTATTAGTCATCCATCGTGGATATTGAAAATAATTCAAGTAATTAATTTTATTCTTCGTTTTTAATATTCAAATGGTTCTTGATCTTGCTGGTTTTCTTTTCTTTCTCTTGTATAGTTATATGAAACTCAGCGTGTTCGTCATGGTATGATGACATTAGGACCAGCTGGTGTTGGCAAAACGTGTTGTATTCATACATTGATGAAAGCTATGACAATATGTGGTGAACCACATCGTGAAATGCGTATGAATCCAAAATCGATCACAGCACCACAAATGTTTGGTCGATTAGATGCAGCAACAAATGATTGGACCGATGGAATATTTTCAACATTATGGCGACGAACATTACGTTCGAAGAAAGGTGAATTTATTTGGCTCGTTCTAGATGGTCCTGTCGATGCTATTTGGATTGAAAATTTAAATTCAGTATTGGATGATAATAAAAAGTTAACATTAGCTAATGGTGATCTAATTCCAATGGCACCAAATTGTAAAATTATTTTTGAAGTACACAATATTGATAATGCATCACCAGCTACTGTTAGTAGAAATGGTATGGTTTACATGAGTAGTTCTGGTTTAGATTGGCGACCATTAATTCAAGTATGTATTCATGTAGTTTGTTAGTAGAATCTTTACTTAGTTTTAATGTGAACTTAAGATGAATTCTTTAATATGTGGAATATGCGTCGAGTAAAAAGGATCTAAACAGGCTAGAATTATTTTTTCATGAATCATCAATCGTTCAGGAAGCAATACCTTTTGCTAACGATTGTAATAGATACTCATTGTATTCCATAGTAGTTGTATCTGAATAGGCTCAGAAATATTGTTAATATGTGTTATTGAAAATTTGTGTGAATCGTTTCGTTAATGTCTTCTAGAATGATTTTCTATTGAAAAGTACCTCTGACAAAGAATACTGATGATGGTTGCTATGAAAGTGTAGAAATAGCTTCCATTTGAGATTTCTATTTATTCTATGTTCTTTTTTTTCTCGAAAGATAAAAACCTCAAATCTTATTTTCAATAGGGTTGGATTAAACGCGATCGATCAAATTATGATGGTGACATCTTGATGCGTTTATTTGAACAATCATTTCCATTTATTTATCGATATTTTTCACTTTATCTTAAATCAAAAATGCCTGTACTTGAATGCATGATTGTATCTCAGGTAGATCATTGCTCTTGTTGTATTCTTCAAATTTTAATTTTCAAATTTAGGCCTGCAAATTGTTAAATGGTTTATTACCTTTAAAAGAAGCGAAAGATCAATTCACAATACAACATATTGAACGTTTATATGTATTCTCTATAATGTGGTCGATTGGTGCTTTTCTTGAACTTGATGATCGAGCACGTTTACAAGCATTTTTATCTAATAATCCTGATTCTAATTTTCGTTTGGATACACCCATTCTACCAGCTGATAGTGAAGATACAATGTTTGATTATTTTGTTCATGAGAAAACAGGTGCATGGACACATTGGAATCTTATTGTTACTGAATATATCTATCCAAAAGATCATGATCCTGAATATGCATCGATTCTTGTGCCAAATGTTGATAATGTTCGAACTGATTTTCTTATTCATACAATAGCAAAACAGCAAAAAGTAAACTAAACTTACGAAAAATGTAACATAGTTGATAATACATATCTATATGTCGAATCTCCTTTTAGGCTGTTCTACTCATTGGTGAACAAGGTACAGCTAAAACAGTTATTATGCAAGCATATTTAAATAAATATAATGCTGAAAAACATGTACAGAAAACAATCAATTTTTCATCGGCAACAAGTCCCAATATGTTTCAAAGAGTTATCGAATCGTTTGTTGATAAACGCGTTGGAACAACTTGTGGTCCGCCAGCGGGCAAAAAAATGACCGTATTTATTGATGATAGTACGTAGAAAAAAAAAAGACATAATTTTCAAGAGCAGATTTAGATGTTAAATTTTTATTAATTTCTTTTAGTTAATCTGCCATTAATCAATGAATGGGGCGATCAAATAACGAATGAAATTGTTCGTCAACTGATGGAACAAAATGGTTTTTATTCATTAGAAAAACCTGGTGAATTTACAACTATTGTTGATATACAAGTTATTGCTGCTATGATACATCCAGGTGGCGGTCGAAATGATATTCCGCAACGTCTTAAACGTCATTTTTGTACATTTAATTGTACATTACCATCAAATGTACCAATTGATAAAATCTTTTCTGTTATTGCAAAAGGACACTATGCTAAAGAGCGTGGATTTAATGACGAAGTACGATCACTTATTGACAAAGTTGTACCAGCTACAAGACGCTTATGGCAATTGACAAAAGTTAAAATGTTACCAACACCTGCAAAATTTCATTATGTTTTTAATTTACGAGACCTTTCACGTATTTGGCAAGGAATAATTAATACAATTCCACAAGTTGTTAATAATGAAAAAAATTTATTGACTTTATGGAAACATGAATGTTCACGAGTTATATGCGATAGGTAAGTCCGAGCGAAAGCAAAGTTGAAGGAGATATATCATGGTTTATTAAAGTGTTAAATCTATGTCTCAAGAAAGAATAGCCTTCAAAAAGCGATTTCTATGAGACTAGAAAAAGATTGAAAGAGCCGCTCATATATCGTTATTTGAAGACGTGAAAGAACAGACTCCATGAAATCTTCAAAAACAAATTCGAGAATAGTTTGTATCGTGTTGCTTATTACAGCTAGAATCTGTGATATTTATTTGCAAGAGAGAGAGAAATCATAAAATTACATTATTTTCATAGATTCACAGAATTGGATGATTATCGTTGGTTTTCAAAAACACTGGAACGTGTGGTTGACGAAGAATTAGGTTCGAAATATCAATCCATAATAAAACGAGATGATTGGTTTGTCGATTTCTTAAGGTATTGTTTTTGTTTTTTGAATTATCTCATGTTTACATCTTTTCATTGATCAATTCATTTTTCTAGAGATGCACCAGAACCCACAGGTGATGAACCAGAAGACGCAGATTTTGATGCACCAAAAATCTACGAACCTATACCTTCATTGAACGTTCTTGAAGATCGCTTAAAAATGTATTTAACACAATATAACGAGAGTATTCGTGGTTCAGGAATGGATCTAGTCTTTTTTAAAGATGCCATGACACATCTTGTAAAAATATCTCGTATAATTCGAACACCACGTGGTAATGCTCTATTAGTTGGTGTTGGTGGTAGTGGTAAACAATCACTAACAAAACTAGCTTCGTTTATCGCCGGTTATAAAACATTTCAAATAGCATTGACACGTGCATATAATGCCAATAACTTATTAGAAGATTTAAAAACACTCTATCTTATTGCTGGAAGAGATGGAAAAGGCATAGCGTTTATATTTTCCGATCAAGATATTAAAGATGAATCATTTCTAGAATATATTAACAATGTACTTTCATCAGGAGTTGTATGTTGAATTTTGTGTCATTCAATGAATTTCATGATTCATATAATTGCCGTTTGTTTTTAAGGTACCGGGAATGTTTGCAAGAGATGAAATGGATGAAATATGCCAAGAATTAGTACCCATCATGAAAAAACAATATCCACGAAGACCACCAACAAATGAAAATCTATTTGATTATTTTCTAAGTCGTGTTCGACAAAATTTACATGTTGCTTTATGTTTTTCACCTGTTGGTGAAAAATTTCGTAAACGAAGTAAAATTTAAAATACAAATGTTTGCTTTTCCGTACATCTTAAGAAATTTATTTTCGTCTAGGTCTACAATTTCCTGGTCTTGTTGCAAATTGTACAATCGATTGGTTTCTTCGTTGGCCACGTGATGCCCTTGTTGCTGTTGCTGATCATTTTCTTTCATCATTTTCTACTGTTTCATCTGACGAAATTAAGAAGCAACTCGTTCAATGTATGGGTTCAGTACATGATGGTGTAGCCGAATATTGCTTACAATATTTTCAAAAATATCGTCGAGCAACACATGTTACACCAAAATCATATCTTGCATTTCTCAATGGTTATAAAGAAATCTATACTCAAAAATTAAATGACATCGAATCTATGGCTAAACGTATGAATGATGGGCTTACACGTTTAGCTGACGCTGAAAAAGCTGTTATATTTATGAAAGAAGAATTAACAATCAAAGAAAAAGAACTGGATGTTGCAAATCAAAAAGCTGATCAAGTTCTAAAACAAGTTACGATTAAAAAAGGAGCAGCAGAAATTGTTCGACAGCAAGTTAAGAAAGTGAAAGATACAGCACAAACATTAGTCGATGAAATACATAGAGACAAAATACAAGCAAATGCTGAACTTGAAAAGGCAACGCCAGCATTAATTGTATGTTTTTCTTAAATTTCAATATGAAATATCATTCGATTGTAATACAATTTTTTTTTTCTAGGCAGCTGAAGAAGCTTTAAAAACAATATCATCGGGAGATATTTCTGTTGTGCGTCAATTAAAACATCCACCACGTCTTATTCGTCAAATAATGGATTGTGTCTTAATTCTTTTTGGGCGTCAATTAAATAGTCCAACTAATTTTGATTATGAATTACAAGGACCTTCGCCAAGTTGGGAATTATCAATAAGAGTATAACACTTTTGTTTTGAATACATGTATATGCCCTTCACAATAAGATTCCTTCTATTTTCTATAGATGATGATTGAAACAAATTTTCTTCAAAATCTTCAATCATTTCCGCGTGATCGAATTAATGATGAACAAATTGAACTGCTTCAACCATATTTTCGTGTACCTGACTATACACCCGAAGGTGCTAGAGTAGCTGCTGGTGCTATAGCTGGTTTATTAACATGGACGCGTGCTATGGCAGAATTTTTTTATGTTAATAAACGTGTTCTTCCATTAAAAGCCAATTTAGCCATGGAAGAAGCTCGACTAATGAGAGCCAATGCACAATTAAAAACGGCACAAGAAGAACTTGATCGACGTGAAGCTGAAGTCGCTGCTGCCCAAGCTGAATATGATATGGCTATGTCAATAAAACAACGTCTACAAGATGATCTTGATCGAACATTGAAACGAATGAATGCAGCTAGAGAATTAATATCAGGTTTAGCTGATGAACAAGAACGATGGACTGAAGAAAGTAAACAATTCAAAGCACAAATTGGACGGTAAAAAGAAACGACCTAGAAATGTTTCTTTCTGTTTACTGACTTTTCTTTCTGTTTAAGATTAATTGGTGATGTACTTCTTTGTACAGGTTTCCTCTCATATCAAGGTCCGTTTAATCAAGATTTTCGTTTACTATTAGCAAAAGATTGGCAAAAACTGTTAACAGAACGAAATATTCTATTTACACGAACATTAAATGTAACTGACTATTTAACTGATGTAACAATGGTCGGTGAATGGAAATTACAAGGTTTACCTAATGATGAATTATCAGTGCAAAATGCTATTATCGTAACACGTGCTAAACGTTTTGCATTATTAATTGATCCACAAGGGCAAGGAAAAAGTTGGATAAAACGAAAAGAATTAAATAATGATTTACAATTAACAAATCTTCATTCAAAACATTTTCGACAACATCTAGAAGATTGTCTTTCACTTGGTCGACCGTTATTAATCGAAGATGTTGGAGATGAACTTGATCCAGCATTGGATAATATTTTAGAAAAAAATTTTATTCGTGCCGGTACAACACTTAAAGTTAAAGTCGGAGATAAAGAAGTCGATGTACTGAACGGTTTTAATTTATACATAACAACAAAATTAGCTAATCCAGCATTTACACCTGAAGTATCAGCTAAAACATCAGTTATTGATTTTACAGTTACAATGAAAGGATTAGAAGATCAATTATTAGGTTTAACTATTTTGAAAGAAAAAGCTGAATTAGAAGGCGAACGCGTTAAAATGTTAGAAGATATTCAAGCTAGTAATAAACGTATTAAAGAACTTGAAGATAATTTACTATCAAGATTAAGTAATTCAAAAGTAAGTATTTATCATTGTCATAATGGCAGATATATGTATCGATTTATTTTCTATTAGGGTTCATTAGTCGATGACGATGGTTTAATTCGAACATTGAAAAAAACAAAAGTCACATCAAATGATGTTAAACAAAAACTTCAAATAGCTACAGAGACGAGTCAAAAAATAAATATTGCACGTGAAGAATATCGTCCAGTTGCTACACGAGGTTCTATTATTTATTTTCTTATTGTTGAAATGTCGCTTGTTAATGTGATGTATCAAACATCATTAAAACAATTTTTACAATTATTTGATCAAGCACTTGAACGGTCACCACGAGTAAATTCATTATAGCGACATAAGAATTGAAAACACGTTTATTTTCTTTTGTGATTATTTTCAGTCACCCGTTACATCAAAACGAATCACTAATGTCATGGAATATTTAACATATGAAATGTACAAATATGCTGTGCGTGGTTATTATGAAGAACATAAATTTATGTTTACACTTTTACTAGCATTGAAAATTGATTTACAAGCGACTCGAATCAAATTTGATGAATTTCAAACATTAATTAAAGGCGGTGCTTCATTGGATGCCAACATAGGTACTAAAAATAATATTCTGTTCTTTTCTTTTTCGTGTTATAATTAATGAACGCTGTATTTAATTTTTAGTACCACATAAACCACCATATAAATGGTTACAATATGATAGTTGGCTTAATCTTGTTGAATTGTCAAAGCTTTATCAATTCGGAGATATACTTAATTCTGTAAGTGATGTTTTCTTTAAGCTACTATTCTAATTAATTATTTTCTTCTTATTTAGCTTCAACGTGCTGGTCCGTCATGGGAAACATGGTTTAAAGTACGTACATCATAATTATTCTTTCTTGTCTTACGAGAGAACTATATGGATTGAAACATGCCTTTTGAGCTTGTATTTGACTTGCAAGAGCATCTTGTAGAGATCAGTGAAACTCTAAAAAAAAAACGTTTACTGTCATATATTACTAGAAGCTTCAGCGAAAACGCTCTTGCTTCAAGGTATTGAAACTATATTTCGTACCCAAACAGTGACTTGAATTGATACAATTGTTATCGAGAAAGATTTGATGGGAATAGAATTTTCATAGTAGTCTGTCCATATAATTGACCAAGAAAATCCAACAGTTCGTTGTCAAGATCTGAAACGCCATGAGCTCTGTCAAAAATGGGATATTGTATTCTCTCGATAATTTTTCTAGAAGAAAATTACAAGAAGCCATTTTCTTGGATTCTTGATACCCATTTAGTGTCAATCAAAGATGTTGTGAATAACTTTGGAAGATCTTGTTTGGTAGATTTTTTGTCATCCATGTAATCAAAAACAAAATTGATACTTGAAATTCTGACTTGTAACTGTAGAAACATGGCGAAATTTTGTTTAGTGAAGTTTCAGTATATACTCAAAGTTCGATTAAAGCTAAAGTAAAATGGAATTGACTTGATTAAAAGTGCCCAAATGGTTAACCCTCTAGAACTGTAATAGCCCTAAGCAAAGTCTTCTTATTATAAGCTCACATGGCATGCATCAGTCTATGTTATTCTCTCTACGATATATACAATTTAAACTCATGCTAGGTTTCTCAAACTACTCTTCCGAACGTTAGTATTCTGCTCTAAATTAGTTTGCTGCTCTCTGCATTTTTCTTTTCTCATGCTTTATGCAAATGATTTTATTTCTCTTTTTTTCAATAGAAAGATGAGCCAGAACGAATAGATTTACCAGATGGTTGGGAATCGCAATTGGATAAATTTCGTCGTCTACTGTTAATTCGATCAATAACACCAGCACGTTTTGTTAAATCTGCATATGATTATGTAATTAATGCATTAGGACCAAAATATAGTGATGGTGTTGTACTCGATATGGAGAAAATGTGGGAAGAATCTGATAAATGTTCACCGATGATATGTTTTCTATCTATGGGTTCAGATCCATCGTTACAAATTGAAATTTTAGCTAAAAACCGAACGATTGATTGTCATGCTATATCAATGGGACAAGGACAAGAAATTCATGCTCGACGATTATTAACGCAAGCTTATACAAATGGTACTTGGGTATTATTACAGAATTGCCATTTATCATTAGAGTTTTGTGAAGAATTTTTATTACAACTAACCGAAAATACAGATCGTATTCATCCAAATTTTCGTCTATGGATAACAACAGAAGTGAATCCTAAGTTTCCTATTGGTCTTTTACAACTTTCAATCAAATATACAGCCGAACCACCGCAAGGTATTCGCGCCGGTTTAAGACGAACATTTAATGGTCTAACAAAAGAACAACAATTAGAATCTAATCCACATGATAAATGGCGTCCATTATTATATACTGTGGCATTTCTACATACCATTGTACAAGAACGTAGGAAATTTGGTCCACTAGGATGGAATATACCGTATGAATATAATCAATCGGATTTCAATGCAACCATTCAATTTATTCAAAATTATCTTGATGAATTGGATATATCAAAAGTAGGGCAATTCGGTTTTTGAATTGATTAAACCATAAATTATCTTGTTTTTCTGTTTCATCCATCTAGCCGATACAATGGAAAACAGTACATTATATGATATCAGAAGTACAATACGGAGGTAAAAGGAATGCTTGATTTAAAAGAAAGGAGACTCAATTATTATGTGTAATTCTAGGCCGAGTCACTGATGATTTTGATAAACGTCTTCTTAAAACATATGTTAAATCTTGGTTTTGCGATGAAATGTTTGATGCCAATTTTCAGTTTGAAGAAAAAGCGTATCATATACCGAAAATAACTCGTATGGATGATATTTTTGATTATATTGATACAATGCCAAATTATGATAGTGGAAAAGTATTTGGATTAAGTCCATTGGCGAACGATAGGTTAGTACAAGAAATGATCATTATTCGGACATGAAAATAGTGAGAAATATTCAGGTGTAGTTTCTCGAGTTAAATATATTTAATTACGGAGTAAATTTCGAAGAGAATAACTGTTGGACCAGTCTTCGGTAGATTAAAATATAGAGCTTGACGTAGATACTCTTTCTAATAACAATCATTTGATCATATTTTACGTATTTTCGGATACATCTCTTCGTCACCCGTTTCATTGAATCCTTCGACAATTTAATAGTAGTTCATATATAAGAACTTCTAATTCCAGACATACGATCTCGAAAGAAACTTGTGCCAATTTTTCTATGAATCTGATTCATTTTTGAAACGACGACAGATTCTGAAAAAAGCTTATGAACTTAAAAGTCGCGATGGGAGCCTCTTATTTTATATAGAAACGTTGTATATGACAGCTAATGAGTTACACATCATTGGTTGTTGATTCTAAATGTGTGCCAAATCATGAATCAAAAACAATGATTTTTACCATGACTACTGATATTTTTCCAACAAATTTTCATCTCAGTCTTGAAGATTCATTAGCTAAAACTATATTTACGCTCTGGATCGTCAGTTGTATGTCACAAGCTATGTTCTATGTGCAGCTGTAAAAAATTAAGAGACGCGAAGTTAATCAAACGTATGATTACATGTTATCCCTGTCAGTGTTTGGCATGTTAGAATATATATTATCGAATATCTATCTGAATGTCCGCAACTGTTGTCATATCTTAATACTGATTTTAAATCCTGTTTTATAAAACAAACGAAAATTTTGCTTTTAACTTATATAGATATCAAGAAGATACAACAAAAAAAGTTCTTGATACAATATTAAGCATTCAACCAAAAGAAGCTCTTGCTGGCACAGGTGAAACACGTGAATCTTCTGTCTATCGGTTAGCAACAGAAACATTGGAAAAATTACCTCCTGATTATATTGCTTACGAAGTGAAAGAACGTCTTTCAAGACTTGAACCAATGAATATTTTTCTTCGACAAGAAATTGATCGTTTTCAACGTGTAATTAATATTGTACGAATGACTTTGATTGATTTAAAATTAGCTATTGATGGTACAATTGTTATGAACGAAGAATTACGCGATATACTTGATCGCATGTATGATGCAAAAATTCCAAGTATTTGGTTAAAATTATCATGGGAGTCATCAACATTAGGTGCTTGGTTTACGGATTTCTATGCACGAAATGATCAATATCGTTCATGGCTTCAGTTGAATAAAGATACACGACCAATAGCTTTTTCAATGGCAGGCTTTTTCAATCCACAAGGATTTTTAACAGCTATGCGACAAGTAAATTCTTTGTCTTCTTCCATGATTTTAATCATGTTCTACTATTTTATTTTCAGGAAGTAACAAGAGCTAATGCAGGTTGGTCGCTTGACAATGTTATTCTAACAAATCGAATAATACGAACCGATCGAGAAGCATTAAAAGAACCACCGCGTGAAGGTGTTTATGTTTATGGTCTTTATATAGAAGGAGCTAAGATACGAAGCGGAGTTTTAGATGAATTAAAAGTCAACGAAAAATTGTTAACACATCCAATGCCTGTTGTACACATATCCGCTGAAGTTGAAGTGGGCGTACATGCATCGCTCTCGAAACATGAACGTCGTCCTGTTTTTTATGCGCCCGTTTATAAAAAGCCACGTCGAACAGATCGAAATTACATATGTACGCTTAAATTAGATTGTCCATCAGGTGATAAAACTGGACCAGATGTATGGGCATTACGAGGTGTTGCAGTTCTATGCGATAGTAAATAGACAATGTGCAAATGAATTTTCAATAATTGTTGTTGTGCAGTGAAAAGATTTTTTTGATCTTTAATACATAATAAAACTAATTTTGATGTTGTATGAAATTTTACAGAAAAACAACATTGTCCACTGCCGGCACTAGTTTGACTGTAGGTACTGAGTCAAGAATAAGAGTGTTAAATCAAGATCATATACAATGTTGACAAACGACAGATGAGAAGAAATCTGTTTTCTATATTCTCAGGGAAAGCATTCCCATAGTTATAATTATTCTATGCAGGAGTAATCATTAACATCTCGATACATTGAAAAAAATCATCAGCTAATAAAATAAAACTGCAGAAACACATATTCGTATCAGTCAACTTTATTTATCAATCAATGAAACAGAATCGAAGAACAACAGTAGTATTCATCAAACCCATCGAATTTTCCACAAGAAACAGTCATGATGATGCGTCTGATGCCATGATGCTTCAATCTTAGTTCTGTTACGAATCGCAATATGTTCGATTTGCAGGCATTGACCAGAATTCAGAAACCTATTAAAACAGTAGCCTTTACCAGCAGTCATAAAACTAACCTTTCTGGCACTGTATATGTCCCACGGATAATATTTAACGATCGTAACTAAATCCACATTTTGATAAAGAACCACATATGACAGCCGTTTTCGGTTTTGTCGATACGGTATTTAAAGTTGAATCAATCTTTCTATTCTCATATATCGATCACTGCAAGGTTCTGTACATAATTACTATAATTTACGTAAATTCTAAGATATCCATTACCTAAAGCATTAATTATATCAATTGACGCATTCCTTTTTTTCTACACATTGCGATGAGCTTTTGAATTTCCGCATTCTTCACAATATAGTATTTTCACTATTGAAACACTGCGAAGGAAAAAATGGCGTGGTTCGTACTGAACTCTTGAGGAAAATGGCGTCAATAAAATAAACTCATAGCTGGATGATGGGGCTGCTTGTGTACATCTACAACAGCACTTAAACATATTTTCTTGAAGTTTAACTCTATGTGGAGCCTGCTGAACGTCACCAAGATTCTTATTCTAATTTCGAAGATACTGTTTTTATTTTAAACTGGAAATGATACGAGTATTGTTCAGACGAATTTGACGATTTTCATGCATATATTTAGAACTCATAGTCAGCATAAGTTCTGAATTACCATTGGCTTTGGCTCTTCTCCCTTCCATATCAATCAAGTTTACACGTCATTGAATAAATTCATATGCCAATATAAGACAAGTAATCTCAGAATCTTGTAAGAGAATGCATAGGTAAAAAGAAAATGCCTTGAACGATATCAACGACAAGACTGAAACTGTTTTTTGGAAAGTTTAAAATCTTTTTGTAGAATCAAAATGGTTCGAATACATTTGCAAATATTCTAAATACTGCATACAATAGCTATCTGCTTTTATGCTCATATAAAAAAAATATCATATGATAGATGTCAAGGATAATTTATTTGCTATACGGGTCATATGATCGACATAAAAGCCATGGCTTAAGAAAGTATTCAGTATCAGTATTTCTGAACTTATCAAGATATATGATAGTGCCTTGCGATGTGCTATTCGAATAATGAGCATGAACAAGAACAGTTTAACGTATGGTTAGAATAACACTAATGAAGTATCCAAAAGAAAAATAACGAGCATATAGCAGCCAAATACACGAAAGAATAGATTTTTATGTTTGAGCTACTACAGAGATAAATAAGTTAAATTATTTCTCAAGCGATAGATTATTCTTGAAAAAATCGCCGGAATCTCTAGAGATTTTTCACTGGACGTATTTATGATAATGAGAACAAACAACACATGTAAGTTGTGCATTGCAGTTCTTGAGACACTGTGCTGACAACCTTTTCATGATTATTAAGTGCTATTATTCATTGATATAGCTATAAAACTAGGAAAACGAGAATCAAGAATATTGGGTATTATTTATACAATTCGATGAATAAAATCCTTTGTTGATGAGACTAACTGGATAAATATAGTTTTTTTTATGGTTTTCCGCTTGGACAGTAAAGAATGTCTATTGTTTGTGATTGCATATGAATCTGTATTATTTCAATTCACAAAACAAAGATCAGAGAATGTTCCGAAATTATAATCTGATATGTTGAATTTGTATCATTGTCTCGTTTTCAATTAGAACAATACGTTGTATAATATCGTCAATAGTCCAATGTCTAGAATGTTCTAATGATCAATAGGCATTGTTTTCTAAGAATTCAAGTATTTTACTGGAATATTTTATATACAATATAAGCACTTCATTTAAAGCTTACAATGGCATTGAACAATTTTGTTTTGACAAAGTACTATGAAGAATTTCATTGTCAATCGTTTTCTTCCCATTATATTCTCTTTCAGTAGGATAACATTGAGTTGATGTAATCTTTTCTCTTCTCAGATAGCTCAGTCTTGAAAAACTAGTAACTATTATTGTCTTCTGTCAGTACTACTATATGGAATCAATCATTTCACTGATATAATCCACTGCGTGCTAATTTGTAGAGGTTACACAACCAACTGTTTCAATTATCTTTACATCAGTATCTAAGGCTGTATATGCTCATTAATCAAATTACTGAGATCAAAAGAGCTACTTTACTCAAAAATAAAAAGTAATGTAAGCTAGTACAGCAATCAAAAATAGAGATATTTTACGTCAGTTTTTTTATGTAGTTATTCATAAGTATTATGTTCTAAACAAAAAATCTACGAAGCAAATGATTAATCTATAAAAAGAAATGCCATGCGTACATTTTTTTGCAACAAAATTTCTTGCACGCTTAGTGAAAGTCTATAAAGATATCGTCTTTTCTTTCTTTAATATCATGTGGTATCAAGATTTGGCGTGTAGGTATCCGACCAACAGGCAATGCATTTGCTGATTCCAAACAGAAGATAATAGCAGTGTCTTCTTTGAGTACAGACTTCTTTTTTTCTTCTGCTTCTGCTTCTTCTTCTTCTTCTTCTCATCGTCTTACCCATTTTTTTCCAGTTTCTATACTATCATGTATATGCATATAATCAATACACGACGAAAAAGCCACATACACATGCATGCATATGTAGAATGGATGCTAAAAATAGTGTCAAGGATGCAAACTAGCTATTTCTATTTGATGATAGTATGTTTTTGTACAGAACGAAGAAAATACAAATGATGAAAGAAACGACAAAGACTACGAGCAAGGTATTCTATTCGTCGTTCTAACTTCATCGCTATTAACATACATAATATATGGCTTCTTCGACTATTATACCTATTGTTTATACGCATAATTCTTTAGAGAAAAATCGTTTAGGATCACCAATATCTTCATCAAACCGTTACTCAGTACACGATCATGGGCAAGGCTATCGAACATATTCATATGAGTTCGATTTAGTTGATTATGAGCCAGAACAAATAGATGTTCTTCTGGATGACAATGGTACATTACGCATACGTGCAAACCGTTCACCATGTCGAGAATTCAGACGTGAATATAATCTTGGTGGGCCTAACGTTGAAACAACACTTGTAAGAAATACAATTGACACTCGTGGACGTCTTCGCGTTGACATTGATGTTCGGCCACGCCGTTTTGATTTACAATCACCCAATAATAATATTCTTACGTTTGATTTGCAAGGCTACAGACCAGAAAATGTAAATGTTCGAATAAATCAAAATGGTTTACTTAAAATAAGTGGTCAACATATTGATAATTCACATGGTAATAATATTAATCGTGAATACTATCGACAATATCAATTACCAGCAAATGTTGATCCTGATAAAGTACGTGCTCGTATGGATCAAAATCAAATACTAACTATTGAGTTACCTCAATCATTATTAGCAAGAGATCCTACTAGACGTGAATATTGGGTACCTGTTTATGAAAGAAATTATCCGCCATGTTATTGTGGTACACCTGGTAGTGGCTGCTGTTGTTGCAATATTATGTAATAAACAACAGAATCGAAGAAACACAAAGACATCTTTATTAATTTAGTAAAAAAATTTACAAAAGCAAAAAAAAAGATTTTCTCTTTTCACTCATTCACATTTTTCTACTACAATCTTTTTCATAGTACTATGTATACCATCAATTTTGTTAATATAACATAGAAAATTAATTCCATTTAATAGATATTCTTGAAAAATACATGTAGGAAATAAACGATCGTGGTTCGTCTTAGTTATTTTATCAATATGTATACGACGGTTATCTAAAATATGTCTTAATTCTGGAATGTTATCATAAATAAATTTTAGATAATCTTTTTCTGTTGATATTGATAAAAACGATGTTTTGTTTAATTGTTGAAGAATATATTTCATGAGACGAACAATATTAATTAGAATTTTTTGTGTAGTTAAAATCAATGTCGATGTTGGAACACAAGTGAGTAGTGTTTGATGAGAACCTTTAAAAAAATCATATATCATAAAGTAAATCATAAAGTATTTGTATGATTTTTCATTGAAAACATGACAGTTTCCAAAAGGAAATATAAATCTTATAGATGAAATATCGATAATCTATGAGCAACTGGGCAGCTGGTCTTGGTTGTTTCAATTGAAATCTCTTATATATCTTACTTTGCATACTCACACTCACTTAATCGCAATACTCTGTCAACATTCATCAAGAGTAATATTTTATGCGATCAATCGCTTCCAGATTAATTGTCCTGTCACTCAATCTGTGCACTATATGTAGAAGATAAATTAGAATGAATATAGATAAAAAAAAAACTCTTATAAACAATGTTTCGATAAATATTAAGTTGCAACTCAACGTTCAGTTTATACTTCAATGTTGCTATATTATTACGATTCTTGATGCAAATTCTCATAATGAAATACAGTTAAATCTATCAACTGCATTCGTTACTTATTGAGACATTATCAAGCTTTGTATATCTATCTGCCTTATCTAGTTTCAGATGGTTTTCCGATTTTTCCAGTCAATAATTATATCACAACAACTATAAACTACTACTAAAAGTTATTGTGTATTGTTAAGAGATTTATGAAAATTTTTAAGCAATAGATTCTTAAGATTTACATCTAAACGAAACTCGTTTCGAATGAAACATCATGTAGAATTTCCATTAGCATGACTATAGTTTGACTATGAAATCCTATGATTTAAAACCATCTACCGTTTTTTTTTGTAGTCATTTTACTAATATCCCCTTTTAGGAATTCAATATGACTAGAGGTGTCAGCCGTACGGCTGAGCCGCCGCAGCAGCCGATTTTTCAATAATATCAGCCGCCGCAGCCACCAAATTAGTAGTAATTTTAAGAATTTCGGGGGAGCCGCCGGTGCGAAAAAACAAGTTTAGCCGTTGCGCCGCTGCAAGAGATAAAAATTTTTGATAGCGTTATTTTCCGCCGCTGACATCAATACATATGCGATCGAATCGAACATTTTTCTTTTAATTTTCGTCA